TGCGGGCACTCTCGTGTGACATGGCCTGGGGCGTTGCAATTGTAGCACAACCCCTTCCGTCTTTGGTCAGTCCTTGATCGGTCGTGGTCCATTGGCTGTGGACCTGTTCCTGGCGTGGGACGGGTTGCGGGCGTTGGGGGTGCGGGTGCGGGCGTAGGTCGCGAGGTGGTGGGTGTGGGCCGCGCGTAGGGGGGGGTGGTGGCTAGAGGGGGTCTGGTTGGTGGGAGTGGGGGTCTAGGTGGGGGTGCTCGTGGCTGGGTGGCCTGGAAACGTCGCCACTGGTTGTCGAGGAGGGTGGCCTCGCGTTTCCATTCAGCCCAGGTGGTGGGCATGGGGCGGAGACGGTAAATGCTCTCGCGGAGCCAGGTGTTGATCGCTTGCTCAAAGCGGTCGACCAGCCCTACGTCACCCAGTCTTGAGGCAGGCCCTGATATCTCGAACTCCTGGATGACCTTGTCCACGGAGTCGCTCCCCTGTCGGATGGCCGCCAGCTTCTGCTGGGCGGTGGCTTCCCGATTTGGGTCCTGGAACATGTCGTCGAGTTCCGTGTTGAACTCGTCCATGGTGAGTGCCAGGGACCCTGCCGTCAACAGCGAGATCGTGCGTTGCATTGCCCATGCTCCTGCCGGCCCTCCCTTCATGTAGGACAACACGAAGAGAATCTGGGAGAGGGCGGTGGGGAACTCGGACGCGCGGACGTGGAAGTAGATTCCACATTCGGCTTTGAAACGGTCCAGGTCCTCACTGGCTCCCGAGAAGGGCGTGGGGGGGCGACCTTAGGTGGCTTGGGTCTGGGGGCAGGTGTGGGAGCGGGTGCGGGGATAGGCGCGGGTGCAGGCGCAGGAGCAGGTGGGGGGTGGTTAAGGACTTGGTTTTCCACAATAGCCTGCAGTTCCTGGAACCGGGCTAGGAGGTCATCGTACTGTTCTTCCGTCACCATGGCAGGAGAGGCAGGGGAGGCGGGGGAGATGAAGTTGAAGCCTTCTTCTGCTGTCAGGGACTCGTCCGGGGTCGAGGGGGTCCGGGTATAGCGTCCGGGACCGAGAGCCTGGCGGGGGGCGGATCGGGCGTGCGTACTGACAGGCCCGATGTGGGACAGCGGTCCCTGGCCACTTAGACTGAAGTGGAAAGTTGTTATTATTATTAAAGGAGAAATATTGTACTACTTACCTGAAGTGGAAAGTTGAGAAGAAGGCTACTTCTTCGGTTCCCACTTCAGGTTCGTTTATATACATGCGGCTTGGATCACATGACGGGTGCCACGTCACCCTCGCACACAGCCGTAACCACCCGGGTGTCTCCGTGGGAGATCCCGAGGGTATCCGGTGCAGGCGCGCGTGCTGGGCACAGCGGGAAGTCGCCCAAGGTGCCCAGGCCGGGTACATGGTGGGCGCACTGCAGATGGGTCAGTTGTACATTGATACAGAGAAAGTCGTCCGTGTAGAATAAAGAGAGAATAAAGGAGAAGTAAGATAAGGAGAAACTGAGGAGGGGAGGATGAGGGGGAAGAAGGGAAAGGGGGAGGAGGTAAGGAGGGGTGGACCGGCGGGGTACCGGGTCAGGTTGGGCCAGGTGGAGCCGGGTCAGGCGGGTGTGCCCTGACACTATTCTAATGGCCACCCTCCCCATAAAACTGCAACCCAGCGACCCCAGATACCCCTACATCCTCGATGTATTCACACAACAGCCCTTCCTCAAAACACGCATCCACCACAGGAAGATCCCGGCCGAACTGCGTGACACTCTGAACACAGGTGCTAAATATAATCTGAGACTGGACCATCCCACTATCGACCTTGAAACCAAACTTAACCTCCCGGCCTGGAAGAAAACATAACCATAAGCGACCGCTCAATAATAGCATCCTGCCTAAGAAAAACTCACAACTGCTCCAGAGTTGGGGACCTCCTGCTTCAAACGGACACCCAAGAAAACCACACCCACGACCCCAGAAAGAGGCGATGCCCATGTCTTCCTTGCTCGACCTACAGACAGAATGGCTGCAGAAACCCAGAAGCATGCTACCAAACCACAACAAAAATAATCATGAGCCTTACCCCCCACTATAACCCTCATAGCGACACGCACATCATTCCCCCACCAACCAACACCTCCCAAAAACTCGCAAGACTGCATGCCATCGGCGACCCAAAGAACATCAGAATCTTCGACCCGACACCACGTCACTGCCGGCCACTCCACCATTACTTCAGAATCTTCGGGAAAACCCCCCAACTCCCTGACCCCCTGGTTCCCCAAAGCCATCCCCCCCTGAACATTGTTGCCTACACGGACAGGTCATGCTCACAAAATGGCAACACCAACGCTACGGCAGGATTCGGCATCTGGTTCGACCCCGAAAACCCGCTAAACACCAGTAAGAAAGTCCACCCCCTCCACCCACAAACGAACAACATCGCCGAGATGTTGGCGATCCACCATGCTGCCACATCCACCATGGCCAACTATAACCTTCACATCAAATCCGACTCGAGGTGGTGCATCGACACACTCTGCCTGAACCTAAACTCCCTCAAAGACCTAGACTACATACACGCCAAACACCAATACGTCACTAAACTGACAGTAAGCGCCCTGAGAAACAGAACTCACCCAACATCCTTCGAATGGCTCAAGGGCCATGCAGGCATCCAAGGAAACAAAGAAGCGGATTCCCTCGCTGCCCACGGCGCTCAAGCAGCCCCGGACCCAGGCCCCCCCGTAACCCCACATACCCAGCGGTGCCCACCTAGTCTCCCTAACACAATCCACTGCATCAAAGCTGATTCGCAGAACAAAGCTAGCAAAAATGTCCGAACACAGAGACCGAGCGGCCAGGAATATCACCCTTATACAATCGACCCTCGAAAGCATGGGGAATGGCACCCCCACGCAAGACAGAATCTGGAAAAGCCTAAATGGCAACTGCAGGGACACATCCCTGGAGATCAGAAACTTCCTATGGAAACTCACCCACAAATGCCTCAAGATAGGCAACTACTGGAAGAGAATCCCGAGATTTGAACACCGTGGGGAATGCGATCATTGCCAACAGACAGAATCAATAGACCACATACTCTTTGAGTGCCCACTGAATCACGGCGAGAGAATATGGGCTATGGCCAAGGCGATATGTGATCGAAGAATGATTGCCTGGCCTCCTAACCTCAACGTCGCGCATGTGATGGCTGCCCCGATCACAAAGATAAAGACAATGACCAGCCGATCAATGAAAGGGGCGATGAGACTATTCAGAATCATAATACTCGAGTGCGCGTGGCAAGTTTGGAAAGCCAGATGCCGCAGAGTGATGAACCCCGATCGGCCACATACCACACTGAGAGAAGTCACCAACGCACTCAAAGCCGGCCTTAACGAAAAACTCCAGCAGGATGTAGCGTCAACGTGCCAAAAGAGATATGGCTGCAAAGCGCTTCCGACGAAACTCGTGCTACACACATGGAGTGGTAACCTGCAGGATGAAGAGATGCTCCCGGACAACTGGCTGAATAGCAGTGGGGTTTTAGTGGGTATACCGGACCCCCCGTGACCAGGGCCAGGAGTCCCACACTCACATGCGTAATAGCATTTCCTCACAGTGGCAACTCCGGACCAAACCTATCCTCTCCCCAACGGGTTTCTCAAATTCCCGACACAAGCCCCAAATACAGTGACGTATCGCGAAAGCTACTGGGGTTCCACCAAAAAAAAAAAAGAATGCGTACGATGGGCGTACGACTGTAGCTGACTAGGTAACTACATCGATCGGTTCAAATCGCGATCTGAGCCCAAAGCTAGGCAAGAACCACTCAGGCTCTGGGAGATCGCTATTGGGGTGGGCTCCTGAATGGCCGGGCGCAGATTCAGTCAGTCATGCATGGGTCCGGTCGTATATTTGTCTCGCACTAAACATGTACAAACAATGTATATAGAATAACGTGGGAATTTGGGGAAAGGGATTTGAACTCCTTTCTTCCCCATCGTTGAAGAATAATAGCTTAATCCTTTGACGAACTGAGGAACTAGGAGAAGGGGCTGGCACCTAAACCAACCCCTTACACAGACGCGGAAGCAGAGGCTTACGCATGGGCAGGATACTAGCCTCTGCATATCAGAATAGAGCGGGAGGTCTGAGTCTTAGGTCGCTTCCTGGAACTCGTAATAGCAGGATAAACTACACTCGGTTTAATCTTTTGGTCTCAGATGAGCTGCGGACATTTCTTAGAACCGATTTTTTGGGCTTTACCTCGGAGCTTCTGACTGCCCATATGCCGAAACCCGAACTGGCCCAGGGTCCGAAAACATGAAAACACATGTTTATTTGAGACAAAACACTCCCAACTCAGGACTACTTGATACCAGTGGCACCTATTGTTGGGGAACGACCAACGCCCTTGTCCAGTGGTTAATGTAAGCCTGAGCGCTTCTGTTGTTGTTTTTGTTGCGCTGATCGATGAGCTCAACCAAGCTAGGTAGGCGACAGGATACGGACCCGAATCATCTCAAGGAAAGTGCAATATTACAACGATACAGTGTCCAATTTCTAGTTACAATGTGGTGCCCGGTTTATTCTCCTGTCTCACTCCCCTAAGAACAGACTGTTGCCCTTTGTGTCACTTGTTGCTGTTATTGTTGCTTTGTGAGTGGCGTCGCTAAGGGAGCCTGTTTGCCCATTTGCTCTGTGCCAGATATCCAGTATATAAGTATGTAGGGCTGAGCGCGATATCTAATGACAATGTGATATCGCGCTCAGATTGTGTTCAGAATGTCGGGCTGCGATGCTGCGATTTATAACAGACTCGATCGATCCTCCAACATGCTTCCTCGCCTCTTCTTTCATTTTACCATTAGCCAATGTCCTACACCGCCGAGGTTGGTTGATGGTTTTGGAGCGTTTCGCTATATAGTTAAATTGATATCACCCTCCAATTCACACACCATGGCTCCGGGATTAGCCGTGGCGGCCAAGGGTGAAGCGCATTGGATTTACTATTTCTGGGATGACAGTGTCGTTCCAGACCAGCGATATTGGTGACCCAGGGCCCTATCCAGCCTTCGTCGATGCTCGTGGTCCAGCGGGCGTCGGTGATGTCCAAAATGTTGCCAAAGCCATCGCGGAGGCGAAACGGATCGTGGTTGTCTGTGGTGTGTGATGACTTAGCCTCCCTTTGCGGATCCTCGGCTAAACCTAACACCATTAGGTGCAGGAGTCTCCGTAGCTGCTGGAATTCCCGACTTTCGATCCTCCGAAGGTTTGTTTCGTACTCTGAAGGCGGGTAATCCCAAGGAGCTTTTGACCTCGGGGAAAGACTTGTTTGACGCCAGCGTCTTTAATGTATGGCCATTTCAATCATGCTCCAGCACCTGGAATGTTAATCGTCCATGTTTAGACCCCACAAACTACCTCTCTTTTCTACAAGATGATCGCTGAATTGTCGAGTATGTCGTCTACCGCCCACCCTACCGCCTTTCACGAATTCGTCAAGTTACTTGACGATCGGGGACAGTTACTGCGCCTATATACACAGAATATTGATAATATTGAAGAAAAAGTCGGTCTGTCTTGTGGCGTTCCCCACTGGGAGACACAGAAACGTAGTCACTCTTCGCCCACCAAAACACCCAAGAAACAACCACCTCCCGCAACCTCTCCTTTCGTATCGCCGACACCTTCTGTTCAATCTGAAAATCTTTCAGACTCTGGGACCGCAACTAATGAGTCTCCGACACCTACTCCAACCCCCGCCCCCGCCGAGCCCCAGTGTGTTATTCCACCCCGATGCATACCCCTTCACGGTACCTTAAAGTATCTCACATGCCGCCGGTGCTCCCACCATATGCCATTACAAGAGCACGTTGGCATACTTCGTCAAGGTGCCTCCATAGCGTGTCCTCAATGCGCTGCACTTAACTCAGTTCGGCGCATGGTTGGGAAGCGCGACCGCGGCGTTGGCACTATGCGTCCATCTGTCGTTTTGTATGGGGAAGTTCATCAGGATGGAGAAGGCGTAGGTGAATGTGTGCGGAGGGACCTGCTGGGCTTAGGCGATGTTATGGCCACCTCTTTCCACAAACAAGGGTCTGAAGAGGCGCAAAAGCCAATGAAGAGTTCAACTCCTAGAGCCAAAAGTTCTGCGAAACCTGACTTACTGATTGTTGCGGGCTCGAGTTTGAAAGTTCCAGGCACAAGGCGGATTGTTCGTGAATTTGCAAAGGCCGTCCAGGCGAATCGCTCTTCTTCAAGGCAATCTGATAAGTTCTCTGCGCACTCTCCCAGAAACTCCCCCTCTTCGCGATCTTCGCATCCGCGCACTGTAAGAGCTGGGAACAAGGATCCTGACCAGCACCCTGCCACAATTTACCTCAACCTTGACTTCCCCCTTCCTTCTCGGGAATGGGATGGCGTATTCGACGTATGGTTGCAAGGCGACGTTCAGTCTGTTATTCCACACTTTGTGGAAGCATTGCATCAGAAGGACGCGGAGAAAGTAACGGGTTCGTCTCGAAAACGCAGGAAGGCCCCAGACATTGGGACCCCAACGAAGAAACGGCGACCGGATGTGAAGGACATCACCCATACCCCTCAGAAGTTCCCATCATTGAAGGCCAAGAAGGCGCCTGACACAGTGAAACAAGAAATACAGAGATTTCCTCGTAAAAAGCATCCTCCCTCTCCCATTCGGGTGAAATCGACGTCTCCAAGCCCGTCTCGACGGCTGCTTTCTCCCACATCGAAGCGACTACGCTCATATTCAGCATCTAAGATGAACCGTAGGGAACATTCGTCAGATCCTATTTCTGATGTTCCTTCCATCAGAAGGCATCATCACTGGCAACCCCAAAAACAACCTCAAGGGTTGATCTACTCTCCCCATCCCCGTCCTCCGTTGCTGCCGAATATCAGGCATAAACTTATACCCGAAGTGGTTGTTTCTCGGCCGCCAGTTTGGCGCCCATGGCTGAGCCCTCCACATTCGAGTCGGAGAGAACACTCCCCGGTTGAATCCATGCTATCTTCTATCACAACACTTTCACCTCGCGAGACGATCACGCCTCCTATATCGCCGGCGCCACTCACGCCGCCATCGTCTGTTGGCCCCCCATCACGGCCACATTATTCAAACGATGTGCTAGATGAAATTGAAGCACTTGCTTCCCCTTCCCCTACTGAACCGATCATACCCGATCCTCCAAGTTCGATGCCGCATCCCCTTAGCTGATTGCGCCAGAACACTGGAAACACCTTTCACGATCGCATCCAGTCCTGCCCGAGCCACCTGTCCACAAGTGGTCAATGCGAAGACAACCCGACTATGGCATTCAAGCTGCTTTTTGTGTCTCGGTTTGCAACATCAGGACTTCACAATTGATAGCAGCACTTTGAACTTTTACAAACATTTCTTCCCACCTAACTTATTTGCTCTCTTATCTCATTTTTAGTATAATTTTTCTCTGTATTTGCGGACCGGATTGCGAAATTTAGACTCGCCGATATCCCCAGTCATGCGGATCCGGCCATTAAGATCGATACTTCAGTAAGGAAAGCTATGGCCCAGTGCGCTTCATTGGAATACGGTGTAATTCTAGTGTAGGGCTTCGGTGGAGATACAGACTTCCGGATTGTGTTTTCTTCAATCCTTTTTTCCCTGAAAAAATGGTGTGGGTTGCAGGGTCTCAGAGTAGGTGAAATATAGAAAATAACATACTGTGATGAGTTTGGTTAGCCCATAGCCGGTCCCCAGTATCCCGAGGGACCAGATGGCGAGGTACGTGTCTGAATGAAGCGGAGCGTTGAATTGACAATCTATAGCTATCGGAAGACTCAGAAACTGACTGAAGTAGAGGCCACCACGAGCTCCACGTAGCCATATTGGCTTTGGAGACGTCTATGGATCAAAAGGTAATGAGTGTGATGTGCCTTGAAGGTGGGAATCTTGGGTGCAGATGATGAAACAGACTTGGTAGGCGCGCTGGTGCTGTGGAACTCGGTTAGGAACTAGAAGGAAGTCGGAATGAGCGACATTTGGGGTGCATGAAAGCAACAGTGGACACACTATCAAAAATGCCCATCGTCGCTACACTGGGTGGTTGAAAGGCCACTTTCCGGGTTCGGCGTTAGGGCTAACTCCGTTCACACCCGAGCCGGCGCTTCAGGATGGCTGAACGCGTTCGAGTTGAGTTCTCTATTGATGAATCTGATCAACCTATTGATCGGTGGTATAGGGAGTCGTAATACATCGCCCCATCATTTACGGAAATTCTGCATATCCGCTCACAACTGCTGAGCGGAATCCCAGCATCCCATCGGACCACACTCACCGCTGGACTGTCGCTGTTAGAAGTCCAGTGACCACGAATGAGAAAAGTGACATTGTCGGAGGCGCCGATGACTTGGGCTATTTCATCAAGCGGGTGACCTTCAGGCTGCATGAAACCTACCCACAGCCAAACCGAAGTGAGTAAGCTGTGCCACTGCGTCTGAATGTTTCCAAATCACCCCGGTACAGACATAGACAAGTCACCGTTTGAGGTTACGGAGACAGGGTTGAGTCCTTTGAACCTTACTGGCGTCAAGGCTTGACGACAGATGACAGGTGGGGAGAATTTGACATCAGTATACGAATACTGTTTATCTCCGAATCGGGCGAGAAGACCCTCACTTTGCAACATCACCTCAAGCTTCATCCATGGGTAGTGCCAGATCTTGCTGCCCATCCAGGACAGGACCCGGCCCTCATTATCCCACCAGTGACTCAACCACCACCTGAACCTGTCCATTCCTGGCAGTATGACGAGATTGTGTTTACAGATCCCCTTAAGCCTTTCCTCGACATACTGATGGCTCATCCACCGACGCAGTGGCCCAAGATGAAAAGGCGTGCCATACCCCCGAATCCAGCACATCCAGACTCACTTGCGCCACCTGCTCAGAGAGGAGCACCAGAATTTACTCAAGTCATCGAAAGAGATGAAGCTGAACGATTGGATGCAGCAAAAAGAAAACTAGTGGAAGAAGCTGAGAGATTACGAGCGGCCTTGATTGAGAAAGAGAAGGAACTGGCACGGCTTCGCAAAGAGGTGGAGGCGTAGGCATCCCCAGCGCCGTGAATTATGTTAGTGCATGTCTTCAAATCCTTGGGATCGTTTAGCTATAGCTTTTACATCATGAATACATGAACGTTAACATAAATCAGCAAGCAAGCTTGGTCGTAACGATTACTATAGCCACGCCGCCCAACCAACGTACATGCTCCCCTGGATAGCATGGGAAATAAGCATAACTTTGATTTAGGACTCTGGGTGGGGCTTACCAAGTTCAATGGGCTTGTGGCCTCCTTAATCAACCGTTCAACTTGGTTCGGAGTTGAAATAGCTGAGCTACGTGCTGTGTTTTCCGTTCTGAATGTATGCGTGCCACTAAGCCTTTCCTGAATCGGGCCAAGGGCACGCTGAACCAGTTCTGAAAGTTTAGGGACATGAGGATTGGGGTCGCCCCTTCGTCGACGAAGACGTTCCTGGCATCCGACAGCGTCAGTAAACATGGGATCAGGATGATTCATCGAGATGCTGACCTCACGCTTCCGCTCTGTCTCCCACTCAGAGATCGGATCATGAGTGAATGCTTCAAGAACGCTCATTAATGAGTCTTTGTTATCTCTGAGAAGTTGCATTGTTACTTCGCATGCCCTCCGGTACGCCCCTGCGTTCAGTAGAGCGGTCAAGTCTCCATTTGAAACTTTTAATGCGTAACTGACCTTCAACACCAGTGACCCCCAAACCGTCAACCAAGTTTTGCGTTAGCCGGAAAGGCACAACTTCCGGTATATCGAGATATTGCCCCTGTATTCAATATGAATGTTAGCTCCGACCGAGGAAGCTTTCAGACACACCTTATCAAAAATGCAATTAAAGTCAACATGAACTGTATCTCCGGTGACTGAATCAAACAGAATATTTTCGCCATGGCGGTCTCCCAACCTGGACGCAATGTGGTCAGCGGCCAATCGTCAATCAGCAGCCCCGCTCACCCCAGAATGAACCCAACCATGGACATCACTCCAAGAGTTCTACCATAATTTAGGCGACAGGCCAACCACGTCGAGGGTTCAGGAAATGTAGCAATGAACCACTCATGAAAGACGGGGGGAAATCTATTTGGCAATCCCATCACTGGAGGAAATGAAACTGCGACCTATTTGCTCACTGGGGCAGAATCTCCTCAACAAGAAACTTCATGCGTCCAGGTTTGTCCATGACTGATTTGTCCGTGCCTGATCTGTCCCTTTTCAGCTTTTCATATTCCTCCCATATCCATTTCGGCTATTTTCCTCAATCAGCTAGAGATTCACTTAATAGCATGAATATCACTCGCCATAAGCTGGATGCCACGAGCTTCATAGAGTTCTTTAAGGATATGGCGGAAACCCTTGGTATTGTTTACCCATTCGATCAATCCGCATTCCTCATTGAGAGGAATCACACCATACGTCCTGATGTCTGATAGAGCAGGTAAATAGCAGGCCTACACTTATTCTCCTAAAACTTACGTAGCTGCCTCTTTCTGGACTCGGAATTAATCTTCAACATCTTGTTGATCATTGAGTTGAAATCCATCAAGCGAGCGTCCTTCCTCATATCGTCTTTCGGTTTCCCCAGGAGATTGTAACGAATACCATCACTTCCCATGACTGTAAACTTCTTTGGCCGGATTAATGAGGACATTAACGTCACTTCATCGTTGAATTCTAAAACGGCGATGAGTATTGATGACGTCGGAGGCAGAATTTGAGTGCATACGATGGAAAGCCGGAAGATTGAGAGGGAAAGGTTTATGGATATCTTTAGATTGCCCTGCGGATGGGACGGTCACCGTCAAGGAATTTTGGAGAGGTATAATCAAGGAACATGGTGTCATTTTGGGAAGCAGAGGAGCAAACGTTTTCAAATCCACCACCATCTCTTCGCCTTGTCTGCAATTCTTCGCGTCTTTGTCGCACATGGTCAAGAACTCCTGAGTCATCAGCAGCCACTCGTTAACCAAGATCGAAGTTTGATCGTTGCGTGCACTGCGAGACTAATCAAACCGTCAAGGGTGATGACCATCAGTGTCAATGGCCGCAAACCTTAACCCGGTCAATGATAGCTCTTCCTCGCTGCCTTCGCTCTTGCCTCTGAGAGTGGACGACAACAGTGAAAAGCCAAAGGGCCTGTTGAGGATAGGTACAAAGTACGTGCGACACCAAGGATGCGAGAATAGAGTATACGACCGTATTTGGATGGCCTATCCGTGAGATTATCTGTGGGAATGCAGTGAACCACTGCGTCGACGCTCAGCTCGACTGGGAAAGGCATCCATCCAGGCTCTAAATACCTGATAGGGAGGCAAACTACCAATGGCATCCTCAACTGACTTATTTAATTTTGATTGGGACTCGTGAAGAATTGATTCATCCTTTCCCATGCTGCAAATCATTCCATCATTGGTAGAACAAAGTTGAGATGAAGTGGCAGCGCACGGTTTTATCCTTGCATTCACAATCTCGACTAGTTCCGAATCAGCCCCACTGTCAAGCCATATCGTCAAGAGCCTCGGCATAGCCTGGTAGACGAATTTAGACCCAAACTTCAATGCTTTTATGTAATATTTGCAGGCCTGATGACGAGCCCTGCTTCCTCTGAATCGGAATCCGTGAATGCCGCGCTACATAACATCCCAAGGCAACACCCACCGGATTCTTGGGTCACTGGATACTCTAAAAAGTTCGTCCTGGTAGGCCCCCAAATAAAAGTAAGGACTCTCCCATCTTCAGGATGGATAATCAAAATTCGTCAAAAACAGCGCATTCTTGTGAGGACTTACTCGGAAACTACTTCGGCAGCTTCAGTATATTTGCTCAGGAGATCATTTGAATCCGAGCGTCGGGTCTCATGCGTCCAGCGTGCACGAAGGAGAAGTGCCTGATCCCATGTAGAAGCGCAATACACCGCCAGAATATCAAAAGACTCACCTTAGCCTTCAACATTTGTTCTTCCGCGTCCAACCTGTCCTCGGAAAGATCCATTTTAGTGTCAACTTGGGAATCTCTGAGAGCACTGTTCAGCTCATGCAAAGCCCTGAGAGCGTCTCCCTCGGTGTAGATGAGTTTACAACTCTGAATGAAGCTGTATGGAGTGCCCAATTGACGTGCCTGGAGAATTGAAGTGTATGCAGTTTGGAAGTGGCCAGCTTTGCGAGCGATCTTGGAACTTGCAAGCCATGCTTGGCCAAGGTCGGATTTGAACGAATCAGTCAGGTCGGGTCTAGCTGCAGATTTAACTAGGCTTAGATTGATACAGAAATACGTCTCACCTAAGCCCTAAGGCAATACGTCGCATGCTTAGAATCGGCTCCCGAGTTTTAAATGTTGGCAGTGTTTGCTCCAACCTGCTCCTGAGAGAAGATTTTGTGCGCTGCAGGGAAGCTAACGTCCCTTGATCCCCTAATCGGCGTCGAGAAATGGTGGTTTGCGTGTTGTGGATCATCTCCAACTCGTGCACGACATGAAGATTTATAACAGCGTCATACGTGCGACGATATGAATACTTCCCCGAGGAAGTGATCGAAGCACCCAAGACGCACCTTGCCTGTTGGAATGCGTCCATGATCTGACGCTCGTCGTGGCCGCGGAGGGACAACAGCAGTCGTGCAATAACCAACTCGGGTAGATCGCTTTTTGTGCGCTGAACAATTTCATTTACAGTATCCCAGTCACCAGTCATCCAAGCACTTTCGGCATGATAACCAGCAAGCTTCTGTTCCCACTCAGGGGATCTGGTAAGTATCCCTCTTATATGAGTCCTTAGGGTGTCTAGAAACTCATCAGTCGAGAATACGGAGATACAGCTCCTGATAACCGATACGAACCGTAATGTCCGAGATTACGCAAACATTTCAACAGTCCGATGTGGAGATCAACATCGTCTGGGGATTGCTGGAGCCGTACCTCCCAACAACTTTGCGCGGATGTCCATCTGCCAGTACTTTCGTGCTCTCGAATCTCATGTTCGAGGGAGGGAGATAGAATTTTTGTGGAAACACCCTCCATGCCGTCAGGTTCATCGAGGTGCGCGTAGATCAGATGTAATCGCTCCAAGTAAGATTGGAGTTGATCATTTTTCGTCCCCACTGCGGAACGGGATTGTATGACTTGTTCTATGGTCATAAGAGCTCTGGCATATGATTTGCAGTTGAGAGCCGCTGTTGCCAAGAGCTCTTGGTCGAGACTGCTAATCATCGACTCTACAGCCATCACTTGCATCTCAAGATCGCTACTACCGGAATTTCGTGAGCGCCTCTCTTTCTCGGTGATATGTCGCCGTGCAACACGAATCCACGTGCACATATGGTCCAGAAGATGGAAAACAGTCTGCCGCAAGTAAGTCATTGTCTTCAGTGGGAGATTGTGTGGCGGCGTTACCTGAGCACTCAGCACTCGATGATCAACCACTGAACCATCTTGATGAGTAGCTTGATCCTCTAGAACCGTGACGATTTCAGACCGGATCGCCAGTTTGTCGTCATCGTTTCCTGACATGAGAATATTCAGAACAAGGTGCGGGATGAGAAACCGCGCCACTTGGACATCTTGACTGCGAATGGCTAAACGACAGCTGTTGAAAATTGTCCCAGCGTCCTTTCCTGATGTCTTTCCCACCATGTCGGTCACCCAGATTTGCAGCCACTCGCGGTAGGACATTGTGGTCCGATATATGGGGTAGACAACTCTGGGGAATTCGGAAGCTTCGTGGGAGAATTTCCCTTCAAGCAAGGGCGTAATGGTATCAAGCAAATGGACGGGAAGGGTCTTCCACCGTGCACGCGTTTTAACTTGGACTGACTTCTCGTTTTTAATGAGAGCAGATGTGAATTCACAAAATTTGAGAAGCTCCTGGATTGCAAAAGCCAAGTGACTCTGGTATCGGAGGTCACTTGTTGAACGGAAGGCGTCCACGAGAAGGTGCTGTATGAGATAGAGGGCGAAGGTTTTGGCCTCCTCCCCCTCATCAAAGTTGTTGAGAACGATCATTGGTGGAGATTCCGTTGGTGTTTCGAAACGGAAAGGGTCCAGTGCACCAAGCAAACCAATACATTCAAATGCCACCAGACGCAACTCGTCAAATACATCACCATCCCTAGAGGCGAGGTTGAAAAGAACCTTGATGATGGTCGATATTGCTGAATCAAAATGATCCCCAGATGCAAGATGACGGATGAGCATATCGTTATCAGTGAGGTATTGTTTAAGCTCGACGAGAGATAGGCTCGAGATAGTGATGTTCTCACTTAGGCAGCGCTCCAAGAAATTATCCAGCTTGGAAGTAGCATCGCGACCGCTTGTCATTTGCTCTAGACGAGTGGCACAGTCCCTCAATTCTGCGATGTCAGAGAGTGAAACAACGTTGTTGAGGTGGGATTTGACATTTTCTGCATTCTCGACAAGGAGGTATTCGAGAGTTTCGCGTGCGATCCTCTTGCAGAGAGGAGAAAAATGATCCCAGTTCGTGACAAATGATGCTGCCGTTGGTCCAATATACGGACCAATATCACGAAGGGCAAGCTGAGTCATGAAAAATTTCCAGGTGGACAAACAAGCCTCAGTGAGCCCAGGAATGAGCAGATTTGTGTGTATTGCTGCCATGATCTCAAGAAGGTGTTAGGAATGATGCAGTTTCAACGACCATCCCACGTACTTGCGGGGCAATCGCGGTGACTGGGCTGCCGATCATTCCGATCAGCGTCCCAAGACTGCGAATGACCATGGCCTTATAGGCAGGAGTCTTTTTGCCTTGCATTTCTTGAAGGACTTCATTGATGTACGTCATAATTGCAAGTAGGTGTGGCTGCAGGAAGTCTCTAAGAGCATGTGGATCCGTAGATTGAGCGGTAATCCGCGGATCCGACAAGGCCCTCTGCACCTTTCTGAGAGCTTCGGAAGCCTGGTGCAATCGGGGGAGTGTGAGTGGTATTGAATGGCCGAGCCGCTGTAACTAACCAATGCATCATTATTTGACTCATTGCTACCCAACAAAATCACCAGCTCTGCTAATAGTTCCGCGATGCTGCTGCTGACCAACGATCGGGGGTCTACAGAGTCAGCTCGAGCCCCCGCTGCCTCCTTGACTACGCTAGTCATGAAAAGAAGCGCCTGGTCCGTACTAGCAGGATCAGGGAGCAAGAACACGGCCTTCAATATCACGGATGTCTTATCTATTAGGAGTGCTGCAGCGGGACGACCAACGTGCTGGGATAGTGCTCTAATTTCATCCTTGGAACATGTTGCCACGAGTGAGGGCAATGAGTAGGAGAGCGTGAAAGCAAGAAGCTCGGAAGGCTCCCGAGCAAGAAACCTCCCCAGCTCCCTCAGAAGTGCAGGCTTGGTGCAAATGTTCGCGGTTACATATTTGATTATGTCGGGAAAGAAAGGAGACAAGAAAGTGTAGGAAGACTTATTCTGTGCTTGGGCCAAGTCACGGAGCTGATCCTTTCGTCAGAACCGAAAGGGTCACTGTAATCAATGATAACGAACCTCAATGTAAGCCAACCCCCTCAGGAGACTGTTTCTTTGATCCCAGTGACCGATTAAGAGCAGAATGACTCGACCAAGCATGCTATTCTCAGAAACACTGATAGCCATCTCTCGTGAGGAAAGCTGATCACCTGGCAACTACAAGCTCACCGCCCAATTTTCCCCAGAGTTGTGGTAGTAGTCTCTACGATCCGTGGGTCTTTCGCTTGCATTAAAGTCGTCATTAGGTCTATGAGCGCCCCGGTGGGATCAGGCCCCCCTGAAGTCCCAGAACAAGCCTCTACATAAGCAGCACAGGCCCGACTGTTTCATGGATTTGACTTAGACATATCCTCAAGCACAGGCGGCACGCTTACCCAGCTTCCATCCTTACTGCCCGGTCGGAGTGTTCCATCCCACGCCTAACAAGTTCAGATATTCGTGAAAAAGGCACATCCGATAATACGCCGTAACGGATGCCAAAGATCAGGATTTTATAGGCTCTCCTCCTGATGTCATGAGTAATTTCTTCTGATGGACCGTCGACAAGGCGTGTGGTGGCTAAGAAAAAAGCGCAAAGTAGCTTCGGGACCCGGAATCTGTGGTAGGCGGTGTGGGGAGAGACATAGTTGCAGTCCTCGTCCATAGTGCAGTCGATCGATGTTGGGTAAGAAGCGAACATTTCTGCCACACGTTCCATCGACTGGGCCAATTCACTACGTGCCTGGACGGAGGTATTCTGTAGAGGCCTTGACTCAAGATCCAATTTAGTGCTCGGGGGTCGATCAAAGGGGGAAAGCTTGTTCCCACCTCGAGAGAACGTCATAAACTTCATTAAGCAGCCAACGTGTACGATTAGGGGTGTCTAGATCGCTATCGGGATATGGCTTTATAGGCAACAGATCCCGCAACTCCGCTTCCAAATCAGCGACCCATACTTGTGACTCTTGGCGCTTTCGCTTCCCCAAGTTTGGTGCAAACGATGGAAGGCCTTGCTGCTCCAACAGACCAGACAACCGATTTACCAGCTGCTCGTATTGAGAAGTTCGAGGAAGAATACGTTCTTCCAATATCGCCCTGACAGAAAGCAAGCTCGAAGTTGCCTGGGCAGACTTGGAGACGTACTCTAGAAGAAGTGCCTGGAGAAGGTTGTTCAGAGCAAGACTGTCATATCACAGCTGGAACGTACTCGCAGAGAGTCGCCACACGATTCTTTCCATTCTTCATCTCTCAGTATTTCAGCCACTCGCGATACATAGATAGCAGGGACTGGTGGCAGATCAGAATCTGCAAGCGATCGCAAGAGCAATTCGTCCACTGGAGACGAGTTCTCCGAAGGTCCAATCTGAGCCCGTGCCCATATTGAACGGTGAATGATATGAGAGAATGGCTCGCAAGGACTGAAGAGCTCTGCTCTGATCACAGAAATACTCTCAAAGAGTCTACATAAAGTGATCCATGTTTGAGGTGCGGCATGAGATCCTACGTCCAACAATCCATTATGACATATCGTGCAAAGCCGAACCCAAGCAGACTCAGAAATATAGCGGAACAAGTCGATGGATGACGGCAAACATCGTATAGGCATCGAATACGTCATACAGACAATTTTTATCACGGCGGTAGATAAATCTTCGGCTTCCGCTTGTGAACCAATGGTTAGGGATACGGGAGGATTCTGGGCAGCGAAGGCTTCAGATGGTCCAAGAGCACATCTACGAGGATACTCACACCATCCCCTGAGACATCTGCCGTGTCTCCGGTCACCACTGGAGGCTCAGGTTCAACCTTGAAAGGGAACGTCTTGTTTGTTATATCAGAGACGGCTGGAAGTGGTAATAAGTAGATAAACATCTGATCTATGCAAATAGTAATGCTACTTTTATGGATCGTGATTAACTGTAAAATAGCTTGTCGGAACGTAAGCCATGGTGGAGGGACACGCCCAGCCCTATCATCGAATTGCATATCGGTTCCAAGAGTGCAAAGGATTGTGACAGCACAGCCTAACGCTCTGTTGCCAAGATATGCAGGGGATATGCCATTCGTGGGGACTTCGTGTTTACGATTCCAGACGTTCATAATTCCAATGAAGACGAGAAGGTCAAAAATCCATCTCGCTCCATTGCTTGATTCTGTGTCAAAGATCCCTTGGAGACGAACAAGTCCCCTCTCGAGGACGTCAAGAAGAATTTCTGAGAACTCGCTCAACTCCTTATCCCATATATCAGTTACCGGGAAGCGCCCAAGGAATTGAGGGATCATGAGTTTCATCAAATTCACAAATTTTGATGTATCTTCTCCTGGCCGCACAAGGACAGGCGGATCCGATTGGAACCTTTCGGTAGCCAGGTAGCGACGGAGAAAGACGTGCAAGTCATCCATAGATTGGCTTAGGACACCCTCCATTTTATGCTACCGACAAAGGGTGCCTTAGCACGTCCAATGACAGAAAGAGCAAGGCACCTGATTTTAAGGCCCAACTCAAATACACGTCAACAAAACCGAACATCCATATCAACGCCATGGATGTGCGTGATTCATTGTTAAGAGCCATGGATGGGGTGAAGAGGCTATCTCGTATCGCATTGTATAATTATTGACGCGTACTGTAGCTGTTTAGTTCGGAAACATGCACTCAATATCAAGCTCTGTCAACAATCGAGCGGCTCATGGCTCAGGAGTGCATTTCCAGTAAGCCATGCGCCGAGGGCTTCTGGAGAATCCAGGACCTTCCGGAGTGTAACGGTATGTTCTATGCCACTAACGCCGAAACTCTTTCCGACGATGGCCATACAGTTGCAGTCCGGTTATCTTTGCATCTCGTATACACAATGCCCATTCTTCGTCAAGCTCTGCAGTCGTACACTGGGTCGTGTCCGTGTTAAACGGAGCTTTCATTCTATTTAATTTCTGAAATGATTTCTTCGTTAGCTCTAGAAGAAGCCATCAGTGGTCTCTGCCAAATTCTTACAATTCTTCAGGGTGTGGCGCTCAACCATCCGTCAAGTAAGAAATATTTACAAAGAAGAATATACATTGGAGTAAATCGGCTTCAACTCTTGCACCAAACCTGGCTGACTAGCTTGTAGACTGTGATTGAGCTATTATCTGTTGCTCGCCATATATCTCTACACCACGATGCGGAAGTTCAGCCGAACGCATCAGGAAGTGCCTCCACTTCGTCGATGTCTGCCGCTCAGGAGAAGGGGAATCATACTAATCGCCAACCCTTACGATTTCCGCATTTTGCTTCGTCAATCTTGGATACTTTGCTATGCATCTTGGTCGATTCTCCACCTGCTCTGCGGTGCTTCGAAGAGTGCAATGGCCTGGAGTCTGTCGTTAAAACGCTCAAACGTGCTGGAACTGACCGTGAACTCAGGTAAGATGTTTCGCTTCATTGCATTGATATCAATTTCACAGCTTCCAAGAGTCAAATGCCTAGAATTTTTATATTTCTATCTACTTCCCGAAAACGGTCACTCTCAGCAATTGCCACAAGAAGTGGGCCCTTCCATTCCAACTCCCTCATCCCCATCGAAAAGATGTGCCCCGGCCGACATTCCCTTGCCCCCTTCGCCAGCGAAGCCCTCGTCCCATATCACTTTCGATCGCAGTTTCCCGTCAACACCGTCAACTCCATCCACGAGGGTTACAAGACTAGACACTCCTTCTACTAACAAATCTTCTGTACGCCTTGAATCGACGAAACAAAGTCACCCAAACCTTGCGATTCTCCGCCGAGACCTGGATTTTGTCCCGCTTAGTCCTAAGAAGAGGCAAATTTCTGCACTAGGCATCGGGACTCCAAAATCTGCTGGCCTGAGCAGGCTACGACCATCTCCTGAACCAAGCGACGCCGAAAGGAGCCCCACAAAGTCATCCTTTTCCCAGGTTCGTAAAAGCAGCCCGCTTGCACGGAACGAGACAATGTTCTCATCGCCGAAGATAACCAATAACTTGGATGATGGGATACCCCACAGCGCTACCACTCCTCCCCCCTCATCGCCGACCAAGAGTAAAGGGCCTCCCATCAGACACACTGAAGCGTCAAAAGGAAGCTTAATACGCTCCACCGAAGAGAAGAAACTGCTTCTATCAACGTGGCTAGGAAATGTAGACGCCCTGGTAGAAGGGGTCCAACGCGCAGGGGTATGGGGTTTAGATTAATATTCCCTACTTTCTAGCACTACATTATCCCACCAACAACCCTGTCCACTCTGATTCCCTAATGAAACGTGTCAATGTCCATTGTTCCATTGCTACTAAAGATACATGATTGTGGTGGGATATGCATGTGCAAGCAGGTAACACACGTCGAAGTACTATACCCCTCCAAAAGCGATGTACTTCACTTCCTGGTATTCTTCGATCCCATGCGGCCCGCCTTCTCGGCCCAATCCGGATTCCTACGAACGGATTGTCAGCTCGCACACTACACACTCCAGACTGGACCTACTTTCACGCCGCCAAACGGAATGACGGCACTTGAGATGAGACCGGTATTCGTCCCAATCATTCCACATTCGAGAGCCTCCGCCACTCTCCAAACCCTACCGACATCCCTCGAGTATAAGTACCCAGCGAGCCCATACGGCGTCTCATTCGCAAGCTTAATAACCTCCTCTTCGGTATTGAACTTGATGATACCCGCAAGCGGTCCAAACGTCTCCTCACGAGCCAGCAACGCATCGTTAGGCACGTCCGCGAGCAGAGTCGGAGCAAAGAAATTGCCCTCGAGACGTTTCCCCCCCACGAGGACCTGGGCTCCTTTGGCGACAGCATCCTCAACGTGGTCTTCGACCTTTTGTACAGCTCTTTCGTGGATAAGCGGCCCATGTGTCCTGCATGACGATGGTGTTTATTACGATCACCAGAACAGTCATCAATGAAGTGGTGGAACCCACGTGGCCTTGTCCAAACCATTTCCAACCTGTGTAAATACCCATTAGTTGTCATAAACGTATCAGAATGGGGCGATATGGAATTCGAACTTTGAACTTGTCGACTTTCTCTGCAAGTTTGCTTGCAAACTCATCGTATACCCCAGATTGGACGTAAAGTCTATTGGCGCAGACACAGGTTTGGCCCGATTGTCTGAACTTCGACGCCAAGGCACCCTCCACAGCCGCATCCACATCACCGTCGTCGAAAACGATAAATGGCGCGTTTCCACCGGCTTCAATTGAAACTCTGTATTTAACGCAAGCGATTAACGCTTCACTGGATGTGGGGGACCCGAATATATAGCACCCACTTCTTCAACGTGGAAGCAGCTTGAGCGGCAATAAGTTTTCCAATACGTGTTGAGCCAGTGAATGAGACCTTCTTGACGATAGGGTTTTCGCACATCTCCTTTCCAACTTCTTGGATATTCTTCTCTGTTGTGACAACATTAATCACGCCCTCAGGGATCCCAGCACGATTCGCGAGCTGATTGGGAAAGAAATATGAATCAACTCCGCTGAAAATCAGGTCCGATAGACCTACTTCTGCCAGGGCTATTGCCGAGAATGGCGTTTCGGCTGGGGGCTAAGCGAACAGAAATCTTCATCAGGAATCTGGTCAGGACTCCGTCCAAGTGTCATGCACCTTTATGACAACGGTGCATCCGGCCGCGAGAGCAGGGCCAATTTTGCGAGTAATCATAGCCGAGGCTACAATTTGGATGTATCATGATCATCAGCGACAGCCAAAGAACGGACAAGGCATCCAACTTACGGAAATTCCATGGTGTTAGGATAGAACTGAAATCAAAAGTTAGCTCGGCTTGTTCTCAAGCATATTCCGGCAATGTTCACCAAACACCTGATTTGAAAAAAAATCGAACGAGTCCATTTCATTTCCGGGAGATTCTCTCAGGCTCCATATGTACTCACCGACTGGTTGCCTTATGGTCACATTCCTCCAAGCTGGAAAAGGGGAAGGTATCACCTCTTTGGGAAGAAAACCCATTAATGCCTGGACGTGGTTATTGTCAAGGATTATATTTACCCCCATATGAACGAACACCCTCCTCAGCTAGAATACCTTGAGTTCCAAGGCAAAATGATCACATCAACGATCTTTCACATACCAAACCACTTGAAAAAGGAGCAAGATGAGTGTCAGAAAGCCGTACAAGGAAGAATAACTTGTGCCTCTATGAATGACGCGCTATAAGCGTTTTCTGCCTGTTAATACATAAGGTTGGTCCAACAAGGGGGTTGACAAACTCGTACCTTCGACTCGGCCAAAGTCTTCCCATTCTCCATCGTCTGTGCCGCCGTCATTAAATTGAATAACCCACAGACTTGCACGGCCTACCATTATTCGACTTAGGTCATCATGGTGCGTCATCATCAACGCGTAAAGCTGTTTCAAAACATCATGTCGATACTGTAGGAAGCTCTCTTATCAATAGGACTGAAACTCATTACAACAATTAATAACTCTTCACCTTGGCGGTCGTTCGGCTCCAACTCTTGAAAGCGGCCTGGGCAGCCTCGATTGCTTCCTTCGTCTCAGCAACTCCCATCTCAGGTACAGTTCCCAAACTCTGGCGAGTCGCAGGATCTTGGAATGGATTTTGTTAAATCTCATTGGAAATGCCGGGGTCTGGAATAAGAGAGAACTTACTGTGTACATCGACCACACGTCCATCTTTGGCATCAACCCATTTCCCACCAATCAATCCTTTATTTCGAACCAACGACGAGTCAACAAGACCCCACTGTCAGTTCAAGATATGTACCACCGACATTAAGCATTTAAAGTTAAATCATGTGAATATTTCTGATGTCACCGATTCCGTGAAGCTCAATGCTCACATCGCCAGCTTTGGAACTTGCAAATCGGACAACTTCATGAGGTGTTATCGAAGAGATAATTCTCATGGAAGTTCCCTTCCCTTGAAGCATTGCGCTGCGCGTGCGCAATGCGAGGATTGTCGCCATCAATTTGTTCGATAAATCGAATTTACTTTTGGGGAGGGCAAAGAACTTGATCATGTGCAAATTTTCTCACGTCGACGCGGATGGTACGACCCGACAAGAGCATTCGTTGGGGCAGTACATACTTGTGTTGAGTAAGATTGTAGCAGTTAAGAATCATCACAAGGCCCAGGCCCCTCTGGAAATCGAAAAACCGGTAGCCCACATCGTACACTCCAAGACCCAAGCGGTCGGTTTTAACACGGACAAAAACAATAGATAGTTAATGTCTGAAACGAAGCTAATGTAAGGGCAGTATCATAAATGCGGAGTTTAGATCTATGGTGAGTTCATGCAAGGTAGTAACGGTATGCGAGGATAGCGCCAAAGAGAGCAAGTGGGAAGAGGTAGAAAACTGGGCTGTGGCGTGTGGTGCCAGTTAGTTGATTGACAAATCTTTATGCGAATCGGGCTTACCTTCCACCCGAAGTGTCGCCTCCCTCCCCACGGTGAATGTAGGAGGACTTTATCTGGAAAGCGGAGTATGAGACAGAGACAAAGGGAGGACATAGAGTGGGAAAATCACTCACTGAGGGGCCGTCGAAGTCACCAATATACAGAGTCTTCAACAAGTCGCGGGCCTCATCCGAGTGTCCAACATCCTCAAACGCCTCTGTGGCGTCCTTGCCTATGGATATACCACATTTATGAGGAACGGAGAAGAAAACGACCACATGGAACTCACCAGCTTCGGAGAGGATGACCTCGTCACCGCCAGGATGCTGTGACGTACAAAACATGAGAACGCTTGTCAAAGAGCGCCAGTCCGCAGAGGCAACACACCTCGTCCAAAAACTTGGTGGCATCATATACTAATGGAACGCCGTTGAGCACAACATACACTGGGCTGTGAACTGGGCTGCTACAAACCTTTGCCACTGATGAGGACGTAGAGACTGTCACGCTGGCTGTTTTGCTTGAGAGTCTCGAGGTTGATGGTCTTGATGGGTGCCTCGGCCATTGTTAGCGATATTGCGGAAGAGGTGAAAGCAAGAGGGAAAGTTGGGTGAAGGTGAAGGCTGTTTATGCTTTGGGGAATTACTTTTGTTGGGTTGGATTAAGCCACCCTGGGAAAATTACCCTTATTTTCATCCGACAGTGTTCAATTTGGGATGTGTTCCGGTATGAGACACAGAGCACGTCTACCCTCTCGTCGTATGTTGCCACATAGGGTATCTACGGACTGCGGATCTCCCCGTTATTGTCTATGGAAGGGTGCAACGTCTCTCGCGTTTGGCTTCTCTTGGGAGTCAACGATTCCGGGCTTGGGCTGCCGGATCGGTGACGGACAACCTTGATGGAGGACCCGCACTGCATTAATGATCCGGCCTTTGGACACGATGGGGCCTATAACTTTTTTCCCATCAATTTGACTTGTGCAGGAGCACGACTCAACAGGGTGATCGGTAACTCAGCCCACAAACAGTGCAAAGCGTGAATCAGTACTATGAATGTGTGATTGGCATCTATGCACACATTTTCACCTGCTTTGCATTAGCTAAGTTTACAGCCGGCTCATACATCTTCTGTTTCGAGAGCGGACCTTCGTCAGTGCATGGGCAGGCCACTGGTCCTTCGTACGTCCTACTCATGTCCGCCAGGTGATGATACTTCTCGTTCTTCAAACGACCCCATCTATTTTAGCTGAATAATGGCTTGATCATCATGCAATCACCTCCGAAACATTCAATGATATGCCGCGCGCCAACCGTGGTTTTGCATTGATACACCAATTCATTTGTACGTGTATGCGGGTGCATCTTCGCGACTCCATTCCTAACAGTAAGACTGGATCAAAGGAGCACGTTTATTGTCAAAGTCATTACTATCAGCATGAATGATACATGATATCATCCATCTGTCAGTAAACCGTCCAACTCCCGAGTGCAGGAGAGAGATAGGCACACGCCTGGCTTCAGCCTGAAGTTGTGATGTGCCACTGACCCTGCATAGCATCCATTCTGATGTCGAGCGCCGTCGCAGCTGAGGGGACAGCGGCCCAAGCAATGTTCCAAATCCCCGCCTCCAAACCTAATCGTGATGGGTGCGGGCGGAGCATAATTTGCCGTTAACAAGTAGGCGGATGCCACGGCGATATCTCTAGTAAGAGGACAGAGAAAGATCCATGATGACTTGGCCCTTCACACCTCGCCCGAGCAGTCTCCTAAATGATGTCCAGTATTATACCTCGTCTATGGTTTATTTCCAGTCAAATCCAAATCCAACGCGTTGGAACATACTTATCACGCGTGTTATATTTCTTTGGCCAAAGCGAACTCCTGTTCGACATTTCCGTGCTTTGGCTTTTAGGACGGAGACGAGGTCCCAGATGGAGCGAAGACTGTAACTTCGAGTGTATCTTCCGTCCCGAATGGAAAAGCAGTTGTCCTTCTTGACACGGGGACTGCGTATGTGTACGCACCATCAGATTTGGTGATGGCTATGTATGGAAATGTGCAAGGTGCCACGTACGACAGCAGTGCTGGTTCGTCAGCTATTACTCCCTGTCTGCCATTCCAGAGCTGAAATGTCATGGCATGATCTGTGGGTCATTGGGTCGTACCTTGTGATCAACAGGTTTACTTCGGATTCTGGATTGGGTTGGTTTCCTTCTTTCCTGCATTGGATATTTTCGACCCGTAGTGGTCGTCCGATCGATTTGCATCCCTGGACCTTGTTGTTCCCGTACTCGGCAACAAGAACAGGTGTATTGGATCATTTGTTCCACAGAGCTTGGGTGATAGTGGACAGTATGATATTGTTACTGGCGATGTCTTCCTCCGAAATGTCTATGCGGTGTGAGTAAAATCTCTTCGAACAAATAACAGCTGTCCGACCAGCTCATACATTGGTGGCTCGGTTTTGGTGATTACACGGATTCGTCGAAGCTCACAATGGGGGATCCATACGTGAAGGTGAACAGTCTGCCATTGTGTTATTCCTAATGTTGAATTGTCCCCATTACTGCAGCGTTTGCCAACCGCCAACATCTCCCAGGCCATCCTTGAGTTTCAAAATCAGCGAGGTGGCTCATCGACACTCAAGGTACCCTCTAATCCCGGCACGGGATCTAGCTCTCCGACACCTTCTCCTACATCCACCATCCCCCGGATGACCTTTCCCGCAAAGTGAATCATATCGAATCGTACGGACCAGCTCTATTAGCCGTGCTAGCCGTTAATGCTGTCATTATGGTTGTGGTTGTCATCGTCGGCATTATGTACCTTCGACGGAGCTGTGGGAGAGACCGGGCGACAGGGGATACTCCGGAGATGGGCCGCAGCCGAAATCTGGTCTCCTCCAGAATCCCTTTTCATCTATGGGCTTCCGTGGTCTTTCAAGCGAACGAAGAAACGGGGTCGCAATGGACCAGCCAATAATACGATCTCGACAATGGGGCTCCCGCCCAATGGAAACAACACCGAGGAATTCCGTTCGAATAATCCTGGGATTTCCGATTGTCCGGTTTCGTTGCAAAATTCCGATGCAGCGTATAGAGGCGCTCCTCTGTCGAAACGTATCGCATGTCCACCGTGAGTTCCGGCTTGAGGAATCCCAGCATCAGTGCGAACTTCCTGCCTCCTGCCTCGCTCATGACGCCTGGTATGGATACAGAGACTCCAATGCCAGGAGGAGATGATCACCAGGTTCAGCAACTGAGGGGTAAGGAAGACCACGCTTCCTGGCGTTGCCCCTTCACAAGTAAACGATACATGCCTGTAACTTATAGCTTTCTTCTGTGGATCGCCAGCATGGTCGACGCAGTAAATTCGGTATCTTTTTCCAGCCGGTGTAGAAGCGATCTTACTCACTAGGATGCCGTACGTTAGCTCATCCCTTCCTGTCCGTATTGAATTCTATAACCTGCCTATCTCCGCCTCAACGAACAAGTTCGCACCTGCGTTACGCTGCCCTCGCCGACCTCGAACATCATAATGCAGAGCATTCGAAAAGGCCGTCCAAGACTGGATCAAGTCTAAAGTGGCGAACAGAGGAGTGTGATGAGTGAGCACGAAACTCTGAATTTGTCGCGCGTTTAGTCATCTTGGTTCCTCTGTTCGCCACTCAGCGGTCTGCACCCTTTGAGTTTAGGATGGACGATCCTGACCTGTCTCTCGCCCCGACAGCTGAGAAATGCATAATAATATTGTCTCCTTTACGATGTGCACCGCGCCCGCCCCGTGCCCATAGTTGTTACTTCGCGAACGTGGTAACACCGTTTGGCACACAGGAGGTGCATGAGGGAGCACGGTCGCACGTACAGAAGAAGTATGAGAACCATTGCACACAAGCCACTTGTAGGTTTCCGTGCTGTACGTATTCTATAAATAATTTGTTGCTTGACGCGGATTCCAATCGCCACGAAACACGGAAGCTTGAACATCGACTGGATCTTCACCTTGCCACGGGACCACGCGAGACTTGTTAGCCAGAATTCGGCGGATGGAAACTCCGATGACACGCTGACCATGCTCGGGTGGGCGCAATGTTGCTACGTGCCAGTGGCCGGTGGAAATGGGGGCTCGAGAGCTGGGAAACACGACGCACAGGAACAAGCAAGTTCATAATGAAGACGATGGAGCATGTGCCCGAACATATTGAACGAAACTTGTAAAGTGACGGAGAATCGCGAGTTGACCCTCTGTTGGGGTCGTGGAGGTAGATTGATCGATGGTTTCACAATGCTGTCTGCGTCGGCGCGTAGCAGCATATCTTGAGGTGCGTACCAAGCGAAAAAGCTAAACCCTTTTTTATACGAGTTGACCACTCACTACGAAGGGAACGATGATGTTGAGGACGTTCGGAGACCTTACGAGCTTAGGCACTATGGAAGCCAATGTCGCAGACGAAGAAAAAAGTATTCTTTTATTGAAGTACAAGCGTGGATGTAGTGTTATGTGAGTGAATGAGTGAAAGAAAGGATCCTCCAGGAATCGCCGGCAATCTCCTCCCAATCTCGATGATGACACAACCTCGGATCATATACGCTAGGGTATGGCGCTGCCTGGCACCGAGCGGGAGGAGGCCATTCCGAATGGGACATCAGCTTGAAGCATCGGTGTCCCTAGCGTATTTTGGTTTGCCCCTGCAAAAGCAACACCACAGCGTTATACCTTCAGTCAATCAGCTAGCCTGGAGCCACTGCTTACAAAGGTGAGTTGATCACCGCACGATCAACCGTTGCCTAGTGGAACAGTTAGCATGGCCAATGTCGCGGTCCGACCTTGCTAGTGAAAACTTACCTCCTGCGCCTCTCATCCCAGGCGCGCCTCCTAATTCCCTGGCAAATCAAGCATACCCTGGCATGGAAGTACTGCCACTATATTATTGGTCAGTAAACGACATATGGAAGATGAAAGTGAAAGATTACTCACGCGGTATTCATTGATCATGCCCACCGGCATGTTTGGGAATAGTGCCTCGATGGGCGCTTCGACAACGGTTTTTAGAGCCCAATCGGGCTCTAAAACGTGTTCATGGCCGCCACATAGGGCAAGCCATGCAGGATAATGGAACCCAGGTGGAGGCACCTGGGGTTCATTATCCGGTGTGTGGGCATCCTGGCTGTGGAACCGATGAGTCATGAGATTGGATGCAGAGGCGAAGTCCTCAAATACCTGGATGCCCGTGGGCCATGTTGCCCTCCTGGCGACATTCTATTGATTAGATATGAATGGCATCCGATTCGAATATCGCAACATATCGTCAGTTCCTTGAGGCGGGCATACTATGGTTGTAATAAATGATAAACTCTCACAGTGTGTTTTATCGAGGGGCGGACGGTAGTAGTGATGTTTAACGTTGGGTTTGATGCCTTTGGCTGGCGAAGGGGAGTACGCGTGTTCAGAACAAGGCGAACTGGGGAATGGTTGATCAGATCCTACGAACGTATGGCACAACGGAAGTGAGATCAGGTGTGCTCACAAAAAACGAAGTTCCAATCGCCTCGTCAGCTGAAGTGTTTCCTAGATGCCCTAGCAGTTGGGAATGAAGAGAGTTGGGAAGGGAGAAGGGGGTGTTGGGCACAACGGATGCAGATCCTTGAACTGTTGAATAACTTTTTATATGGATTTGCAGGCAATAAATTGCCATAGAAATGACGACGCCTCCCTGATGGTCCCTATTTCTTTCTAGAACTAGCCCGTATCCGTCCGCAAAACTCGCATATCTTCGTCTCGAACTACCTGAGTCTCAGATCGAATCTTCCCCCTGGGTCAAGCGGAAGCGCCAGTGTATATTTTCGTCGAATTGTTCCTTCAGAGCAAGAAGTGGGATACATGCCCGTGCCTCAAATTGTGGTGAGTACATAATTACACAGGACATAGGGCAGTGATCAATTTTTCCACGCAATGACAGGAAGACCAAATCAATCAAGAAAATGCTTCCGCCTCAATATTTGATCTCTGGCCAAAGTCCGTCCCAGATCAGCTGGTCCGACAGGACTACAGGGTTCAGCAACTGAGGGCTGAGTCGGAAAACTACGCCTACGCGCGTAGCCCCCCTGCAACAAGTGTGCGGTGTGTGCCCGTAGTTTCTCCATGAGCATTCGCCCTTTTTCGCTCAAGTTGGGCCCGACACTCGCCTTCGTCGACTCGTTATGCTGCGCCTCAATCGAATGAGAATGAGTCCTCGATTTTTATTTCGTCCCTCCGTTGGAGTCGTTTGAAACTAGAGACGCGGCCGTGCTTAGAGTTGGATCCAAGGGAGCGGGACAGGGCCAGAGCTGCGGTATAAACGTTGAGCCTGGGAGATCGGGAATTTGTTCTATTATGTATTGGGGGAAAACGGCTAATTGGTTTCCTCTGCGGATCACCAACACGCCTCAACACACGTTCCACTTACATAAATTTGGTGCCTTAAAATAATTCCTCCAACTGATTTAGAAGCGATCGTGCTCATTCATCTGGATGTCGCTGACGCTGGTGTCATTGACACCTACTCTCAAAGGACACCTTCAGCTCGTTGGCCCATATGTATCTGCGTTGGATCCTATACTCGCTCACGCTTGGATCAAGTCTGGAACGGCGGGCCATAGGCAGTCAGGAGGCAGGTCAATTCTTATTGCCGGTGTCCCGTAGAGCGCAACCGGGAGGATTTGGGGAGTTGAGGCAAAGGTCACCACTGGGAAAAGTCCCTGAACGTGCATGGTCTGTGCACAGCCCTTCCCCTTTGGGTACGCAATTTTGATCCGTCCTGCACTCCGGATGATGGGCCGCAGCCGAAATCTGGTCTCCTCCAGAATCCCTTTTCATCTATGGGTTTCCGCGGTCTTTCAAGGGCAGGCGAGCGAACGAAGAAACGGGGTCGCAATGGACCAGCCAACAATACGATCTCGACGATGGAGCTCGCGCCTAATGGAGACAACACTGAAGAATTCCGTTCAAGTAATCTTGGGTTTTCGTATCGTCCCGTTTCGCTGCAAAATTCCGATGCAGCGTACAGAGGTGCTCCTCTGTCAGAAACGTATCGCATGTCCATTGTGGGTTCCGGCTTGAGGAATCCCAGCATCAGCGCGAACCTCCTGCCTCCGCCCACGACGCCTGGTATGGATACAGAGACTCCAATGCCAGGGGGAGGCGAGGACGGGTTGTGCGGCAACCCAGCACGATACAAGCATTCTACGTTTTCTTTCAGAACGGAGGCATACAGAGATTCAGCGGTGCTTTAGTTGATTTGACCATTTGGCACTTCCGAGTCATGTTAGGGCCGCCAGTTTCTATTGTCATATTTTGGGTGGTGTGTTTGTGTTTATGTTTCTGTGTACAGTATGACATCCAGCACAAGTTTAATCAATGCTTTGCCTCTGATAGAGGGTTCTCGAACCCTAAGACAGACTTTTATTTGTTGTGGTATGCATTGCGTTTCTTGGAAATATAGGCGCACGCTGTGGCCAGCTCACGTTTGAGTCTTGCTGCGTCCATAATATCCTTCTCTTTCCGTTTTGGATTACTCGCTGCCAAAGTCAGTACTGTGCGCGCGCATTCATAGCGCTTGACCATTATTTGGGCCTTACGACTTCTCAGTTCACGGGCGCGGTTTTTTTTTGACGCTTCCCCAAACAGCTGTCTCCTCCAGGATCAACCGGCTTGGACAGTTTCGTCTCGGGCTGTTTGTGTCTTCAAATCATCTACACACTGGTCGAGCAGAAGCACAGTGTGTATTTTTTCTTGAAGGTGTGCAGTAGAATTCGCGTTCAGTTTCCAGTACGTGGCCAGGATATCGATCATTCTCCAAAACCGATCTAAACAAGAAAATGCTGTCGCCTCACAGCCTCTTGTTGGCTGATTCAGACCTTGCGAGGCTTCTGTTGAAGCCCGTCCCAGATCCAGCTAGTTTGACGGGTTCACCGGACTCAGCAACTGAGGAGCGAGAAAGACCACGCTTCTGCGCGTAGTCCCGACAAGTGAACGATACTGTGCATCAGCATGGTCGACGTAGTTAAGTTCGGTATTTTTAAAATAGTCATTCCACCTGATGCAGAAGCGATCTCACTCACTCGGATGTCGATGTGGTGGGCGGCACTGAACTCCCTCGGTACCCAGGCAGGACCCACTACATAGATAGGTCAGCTCATCCCTTCCTATCCCCATTGGATTCTATACCTGCCTATCTCCGCCTCAACGAACAAGCTAGCGACCTCGAACATCATAATGCAGAGCATTCGAAAAGGCCGTTCAAGATTGGATTAAGTCTAGAGTGGCGAAGTGCATAATTGTTATTGCGGCCATCCCGAGGAATCTGACTAGGAAATTTTGAGGGTGATGAGTGAACAGGAGGCGAATGCTTACTCCTAGTACTACGAAACTCTGAATTCGTCGCGCATTGAGTTATCTTGGTTCCTCTGTTCGCCACCCAGCGGTCTGCACCCTTCAAGTTTAGGATGGACAATCCTGACCTGTCTCTCGCCCCCGCGGCTGAGAAATGCATAATCATGTTGTCCCCTTTACGATGTGCACTGCGCCGGCTCCGCGCACATAGTTGTTACGTCGCAGATGTGGTAACGCCATCGTTTGGCACACAGGAGGTGCATGAGGGAGTATGATCGCACGTACAAATCATTTGTTGCTTGTGGGATGGATACGCGGATTTCGATCGCTGCAAAACACGCAAGCTTGAACATCGACCGGATCTTCACCCTGCCACGGGACCACGAGAGACATATTAGCCAGAATTCGGCGCCTGGACAGTGGAGCATCGGGTTGCGAAGCATTGAATGGAAAACTGCCTTGGAAACTCGCTGACCATGGAATAAGTTGCTCGGGTGGGCGCAATGTTGCTACGTGCCGGTGGCCGGCGGAAATGGGGGGTCGAGAGCTGGGAAACACGACACACAGGAACAGGCAAGTTCATAATGAAGACGATGGAACATTGTGCCCGAACGGAACTTGTGAAGTGACGGAGAATCGCGAGTTGGCCCTCTGTTGGAGTTGTGGAGGTAGATTGATCGATGGTTACGGTGGTTTCAATGTCGGACAATGCTGTCTGCGTCGGCGCGTAGCAGCATATCTTGAGGACACTTGAGCTACGTACCAGCTAAACCCTTTTTCACACGAGTTGACCACTCACTACGAAGGGAACGATGATGTTGAGGACGTTCAGAAACCTTACGAGCTTGGGCACTATGGAAGCCAATGTCGCAGACGAAGAAAAAAGTATTCCATTGAAGTACAAACGTGGATGTAGTGTTATGCGAGTGAATGTGGATTTTGAGTGAAAAAAAGGATCCTCCAGGAAAAGGTCTCAGAATCGCCGGCAATCTCCTCCCAATCTCGATGATGATACAACCTCGGATCGAATACGCTGGGGTATGGCGCTGCCTTGTGGCACCGAGCGGGAGGAGGCCATTCCGAATGGGGCACCAGCTTGAAGCGTCGGCGTCCCTGTTGTGTTTTGGTTTACTCCTGCAAAAGCAACACGACAACGTTATGCTTTCAGTCAATCAGCTAGCCTGGAGAATTCCACTACTTACAAAGGCGAGTTGATCACCGCACGATCAACCGTTGCCTAGTGGAACAGTTAGCCTGGCCAATGTCGCGCTCCGACCTTGCTAGTGAAGACTTACCTCCTGCGCCTCTCAACCCGGGCGCGCCTCCTGATTTCCTGGCAAATCAGGCAAACCCTGGCATGGAAGTACTGCCACTATATTATTGGTCAGTCGACGTATGGAAGATGAAAGTGAAATATTACTCACGCGGTACTCGTTGATCATGCCGACCGGCATGTTTGGGAAGAGCGCCTCGATGGGCGCTTCGACAACAGTTTTTAGAGCCCAATCGGGCTCTAAAACGTGTTCATGGCCGCCACACAGGGCAAGCCATGCGGGATAATGAAACCCAGGTGGAGGCACCTGGGGTTCATCATCCGTTGTGTGGGCATCCTGGCTGTGGAACCAATGAGTCATGAGATTGGATGCAGAAGCGAAGTCCTCAAATACCTGGATGCCCGGGCGCCATGTTGCCCTCCTGGCGACATTCTGTTGATCGATCTGATTCGAATATTGCGACATATCGTCAGTTCCTTGAGACGAGTATACTATGGTTGTATTGAAAGATCAACACTCACAGTGTGTTTAGTGTCCAGGAACGGATGGTAGTAGCGATGTTGAGCGTCGAGTGTGATGGCCTTTGGCTGGCGAAGGGGAGTATGCGTGTTCAGACTGGGGAATGGTCGATCAGATCCTACGAACGTATGGCACAACGGAAGTGAGATCAGGCTTGCTCACAAAAACGAGATCCCAATCGCCTCGTCAGCTGAAGTGTTTCCTAGATGCCCTAGTAGTTAGGAATGAAGAGAGTTGGGGAGGGAGAAGGGGGTGTTGGGTACAACGGATGCAGATCCTTGAACTGGTGAACAACTTTTTATATGGATTTGCAGGCAATAAATTGCTATAGGTCCTTACATAAATGACGACGCCTCCCTGATGAGCCCTATTCTAGAACTAGCTTGTATCCATCCGCAAAACTCGCATATCTTCGTCTCGAACTACCTGAGTCTCAGATCGAATCTTCTCTGGTCAAGCGGAAGCGCCAGTGTATATTTCCGTCGAATTTTTCCTTCAGAGTAAGAAGCGGGATATGTACATACCCGTGCCTCAAATATAGTACATAAGAGATTACACAGGACATAGGGCAATGATCAATTTTTCCACGCAATGACAGGAAGACCAAATCAATCAGGAAGATGCTTCCACCTCAATATTCGATCTCTGGTCAAAGTCCGTCCAAGATCAGCTGGTCCAACAGGACTACAGCAACTGAGGACTGAGTCGGGAAACTACGCCCCTGCGTGTTGCCCCTGTAACAAGTGTGCCATGTGCGCCCGTAGTTTCTCCATGAACATTCGCCCTTTTCCGTTTAAGTTGGACCTGATACTCGCCTTCGCCGACTCGTTATGTTGCGCCTCAATCGAATGAGTCCTCTCGATTTTTATTTCGTCCCTCCATTGGAGTCGTTTGAAGCTAGAGACGCGACCGCACTTAGAGGTGGATCCAAGGGAGTGGGACTAGGCCAGAGCTGTGGTATGAACGTGTCCACCCGTTGAGCCTGGAAGATCGGAAATTCGTTCCATCACAGGGGAGATACGGCTAATTAAGTCGTATTGCTTTCCTCCGCGGAATCACCAACACGCCTCAACACACGTTCCACTTACATAAATCTGGTGCCTTAAAATAATTCCTCCAACTGATTTAGAAGCGATCGTACTCATTCATCTGAAGCTGGTGTCATTGACATCTACTCTCAAAAGGACACCTTCAGCCCGTTGGCCCATATCTGCGTTGGAACCTATACTCGCTCAAGCTTGGATCAAGTCTGGAACGGCGGACCATAGACAGTCAGGAGGTAGGATTCTTATTGCCACTGTCCCGAAGAGCGGAACCGGGATGATTTCGGGAGTTGAGGCAAAGGTCACCATTGGAAAAAGTCCCTGAACGTGCATTCGGTCATCGTGATCATCGTGTGCCTAGTGGTCCGTACACAGCTCTTCCCCCTTTGAGTACGCAATTTTGATCCGTCCTTCGTTTTGATGGCTTTGACACCCTTTACGGCAGTCACTGGGCAGTCTGTCACGTCGTATAAGTGGTAACACCATCATTTGACCCACAGGAAATGCGTGAGGCATGGTGGAAAGATGGGACCGAGAACTGGGAAATGCGACGCACAGCAACCCATAGTGAAGATTGTGTTTGGACAAAGTTGTGAGTCACCTGCCGTGTTCGTCATATGTAATGAATTGCCATCGGCCCGGCAATAAACTTTGACATGATCTAGATGTAGCACCTGTATCAATGTGCAGATCATTACTTTGATCAACAATATTGGCTAGATGGCAGTACGTATGTGTAAATTCTTCGCTGCAGGGGTCAAGTGAAGGGATTATTTTGGAGTCAGACAATTTGCCGAATCAAGAGAGGCTCCAGGTAGTCATTGACGGTTGAATACTCAAGCGTAAGTCAACGAGTCTTCCGCGCTATTCGTGTAGCTATCAGATGCAAATCAGGGACAAGTATGGGTGGCAATGGAGTACTGTGTCTCTAGTAACCGTAGCCTGTAGTTTCATTTAGGATGTCTGAAGTTGAGCTCGGGATAAACTTTGGGTATGATGACATGGACGACGTCCGGCGTGCAACAGATTCTCCATCTCGGCTTTCCACTTGGCCACAGCAAACTTTGACGTATACCGTAGCGCGCTCAATGTCTGTCAGACTCCCGCTCAATGGGGACTCCAGGAAGTGCATGAAGTCTTGCAGTCCAAAACAATCAGGAGCACACGGAATGTCCCAGGTGGATTGGAGAAGGAAGAGAGGAGGGAAAGCGTGAACTCTTCTAAATGCGGAGCACTTGGAAAACTGCGCTGGGGACATCGGAGAAAATCAAACCACTCCCACGTTCTAGCTATTGGTTTGAATGTGTTGGGACACAGATTAGGAGCATTGTAAAATTGGAAGCGCTTTCTGCATCATCCACATGTAGTAGTCCTTGGGCGTCAACCAGTATTACCGTTCAATCGCTCTCTGATTGAATTCAGAGTGTTCGCCAGATAACCCCTTGAACGACCCGCCAATGGCCGGCCCTTCCAAACAATTCGTTCGATGGTTGTGTGAACGGGAGTCCCATACGACCTAAGCGATTCGTAGAGGGAGTGAAAGGACATTTGATTCCATGGTATAAGCTGCGGGCGGTAGGGTGGCGCCAACTCCAGGCGTCGAGGGAAAACTGCGCCAAAGCGACGCGTTTTTGGATGTAATCCAGTACAAGCCCATGGGGAAAGTCTGAGTAATCATGCTGTACGAGACAAAATACAGGACAATCTCGTGGGTGTCGAAACGTCCAAAGACCCGTTAAATAGAAAAATCTGACTTGGGTCCTCACGACTTCTTTATTTGCCACCACGTCACCGATTTTTGACGCTTCGATTGCCGAACAAGCTCCTTGATCCCAAATGCATGAAGGCCCTCGTTCCAACTGTTCCCGCCGAGGTTCTGCCTAAGGGGTTTCTCCTGAGATGGCTCATCACCGATCTGGATGGGAAGATGCACGACCTGGTACCTAGTGACTGTAGCGCGTGTTTCTATTTATTATTGCACCAGGTTGTCTGAATTCGGGCTCGGGATAGATTTCGGTGGGGATAATGATGTTTGTCCCAAGACGACGTCCGACTCGCAACACAGTTTTCATCTCAACTTTCCACTTGGTCATCGCACTCCTCGAGGTATGCTGTAGTTCGATAAGCGTCAGATTTCGACTCGATGGAGAGTTCAGGAAGCGCAAGAACTCGTATGGCCCAAAATAACTCCGCCAAATCAGAGTACGAACTATGCGGAGTGTTTCAGGCGGGCTTAAGAGTGAAGAGAGCGGAATTGGACTGAGGAGCGAGAGCTCTTCTAAATGTGGGGAGCTTTGGAAAAGTGCACCGGGGAGTTCGGAAAAATCATGCCACTCCCATGTACCGGTGATATGGAACGGCTTTGAGCGGGACGGAACACATGTGATAATAAGCGTTTTGAGGTTGGAAAATGCTTTTGTCACTCGTATCATCCACAGGAAGTCCTTGGGCGTCAACAAGTATGGTCTTTCCGCCTCTAAGACACGTAAACGAGAAGTGGTGTTTCCATCTTCGTCGAGATATTCCGTGCTTTTGAGGAGTTCAAGCAAATGAGGCAATTTGGAGTCTGACGCCTTTTTAAGACGAAGTTCTGAAAGTCGCGGAAGGCCAGGAAGGCGAGAGACGGGAGTGAAAGGCCGGCTGTCTCTGTACACAGAAGTGATTGGATCCCAGTCATAAATAATCAAGGATTCTAATGTCCGAGAAAAGTGCCGGAGAGCACAGCGCAACCCGTGTGAATAACCCCCAACCGTCCACGTAAAATGCTTCACGGAAGATGAAGGAACGATGACAGTTTCAAAGTTGTCATTGAACTGAGCGAGTTCGGCAAAGGCATCATCATGCCAGCCAAAACTCTCCAAACTTGTCAGGTGCGAACATGATGCTAAAATTTCGTTTAACAGCGTAGCCCTCTGATTAAACCGAGCAAGCTGATCAGGAACCCTGCCTATGAGAGATGGTCGGTCCTTCAAATGACGTGTTCGGGAGTCGAGAATAATGGTTCGAACGAGGTTCCCATGAGACTTGAGGGATTCGCGTAGTAAATATACGGACGCTTCGGTGCAGATAAATATTGTTATTTCACGATAGAGACCACGCATCCCAGGGTCGACCCAATTACGGGAGACGAGAACGAGGGATGCGAAAGTGGCACGTTCCTGTATGTACCTCGTCACAAATTTCGGGGAAGAAGATGAGTAGCCATCATCACCAGGATATAAGTGACGCGGGATAAGGTATTGGACAACTTCGTATATGATATCTGGAGGAAGAGTGTTCCAAGACCTAGATGCACGCCTTGGATCCTCACGGGCGCGATGTTCCGGTGGCAGTTCCTGGACCAGAAGTGTCCCCACTAACGCTGACTTGCAAGCCAGAAGAAAGGAGATGCATGCAAACAACAGGTTTTGGATTGGGACGACAACGAAGCTAATGATTAGAAATTGGTCACATGATCGCGCAATACCTTCTGTCGGTACTACGTTTAAACGCTGACCCGGATAATTATGTACATGTTACGTGCCCCTAATTGGAATGGCGCTTCTTGCGTATTGGCATGAACACGCTTGGGAGGGGAAAGGGAGCGATCAACTTAGTTTCCTTTTTTGTATTCGACAAATTCAGTTTGCATTGTCGAATCCTGAAACTGGTTCTTTTTGTTGATCTGGAAATTGGGTTCAGAGTTGAAGGGAATGTCTAATATATCATTCAGCGCGACAGTAAGGATAGATATTAAAATTCAGGCACCAAGAAGTTACGAAATAATGTTAGTTCTACTACTTTTAGCACTCACATTAGCCCCAAAAGCGTTGAGCCAGGCGTTGAACAGGATGCGAGTTTTAGTTATATTTGCATCCGGAGAGTGACGACTTGTGGGAGTCGCCCCCCTTAGGGTTTCGTAAGTACCTGTACAAGATGAGGGGGGGAAACGCCAAGTCGACGAGGGATTCGCATAAGTGGGGGGAATCACTGACAGACGGAGCCAGAGCGGAAGATATAGGATCTGACGACCAAGGTCATTAAGCTTCCGATGCTATATGTTGGAGGACGCTGTCGAGTATCAATGATGAACTCGTTAGTTGTTAGCTCACTAGTTTCTTATTGCTTAGTACTCTCATTTCTGGCTGTCTTTGACTGCACTGCTCAACTCGAATCTTCGACTTCGTCTTCCAAGGGCCTACTAGGGTGGCTCTGTAACATCAATATACATATGGACGATATTCGTTGAGCAACGAATGACTTGAAGTCTGTCTGTCACGCTGCTATCAACGAACCAGATTCATCTTACACAAAGACTTTCCAGTTTGAAAGTCCTAACTGCTTCACTCTTTTATCGTATTCTATTGGAATGTTTCATACTGCGGGTGGTGCGTACGCGTTGGACTTCTTTCGTTTCGGATAGAGCTCCAAGTCATCAATGGATGTAAGCAGGGGGAGATTATTCTCCGTTGCACTGAACTGAGATAAAGCTGAGAGTCCCTCGTGCTTAAGATCTTTTAATGGGATGCCGTGATGTGCGACGCGTCTTGATGGCGACCTGAATGGCGCTTGGCGATACCTACACCGCGTCTCATAAGCCCGTCTTTCCCAAACGATGCCAAACTTCTGCGAATCCAGGTACCATATTTCTATATTTCTCATGAATACTTGGGCGAGTATTCCTAGACCTATCCGTCTCGTAACGTGTCTCTGTCGCATATACAGTTGCAGCTGTGAAGTGCTAGGTACGGAAGGTCACTTGGAATCAGAGGTGACTCTGGTTGTTTCTGTCAAACATCAGCGTGGTTTGTGTCCTTAGTATTCGCAAACGAGGCCGAAGGCCTCATTGGTACTAATATGTGTTCTTTGGTGTTCTCTCTCAGGATTCCGACTTGAGATGAAGCAATGTTAGTATGTCTTGCTTCAAAACTGGGCGATTTTTTTTTTCAGATTTCGGTCTTATGTCAGCGTGGTATCCAGCGCACAAAAAGATGGGGAAGCGCTCACGAAGCATTGCGTCTAGTGATGACGATGTTACAGCATTTCGAACGTCGCTATGTACAACTATCACAATTCCCGATTCAATACTCTGTGAATTGGAAGACAGTCAAGGAGAGAAATTATGGGCATGCATTTGGGGCACTAAACGACTTTGCTGATATCGATGACCACCGGAGCTCTGAGCTTGCCCTGGAGCAGAAATCGGGTTCCATCCTTGCTGGCCCGAGGAAGGTAAAATGGAAGAGATGTCCCCCAATCCCAGAACACATGATCACCATACCAGGGTCTGGAGGGATGTTTGCCTTCAAAGACTAGGCTGAATATATTTTCAAAGACTGGGCTGTACTTGGGGTGGACACTGAGTTCGAATTCTCCATCAAACGAGACCTGTGCACACAAGTTACCGAGGCCGCCAGTGATAATTAATGGGGCCTCCCCTAGCACTGGGGAAAAGAGCGCAGCGAGCTTTTCACTTGTGAGGTCTGCGTTTGGCGAGAGGTTATAAAAGGGGCACTTCAGCCAGGATTCATCCGCGCTATGGCTGGGATCTGGCTTGGAACTTTGTACATGAGTCGCAAGCTCTTCTGGAATCGAATGAACGACATGGTCACCAAGTACAGGCGTAGGAACGAGATATGGGAGAGGAGGTACATGGCCAGAATTGAAAATCCAAAAGTTGAAATCTTGCACGCGATATTGAGCAATCACCTCATATGTGTCCATTGACCAGACGAAAGCGCAGTTCATGTCGAAAGCACCTGCATATCGGTCTCCAGGAGAGAATCCAGCTGTGTGACGTGGAGGAGAGGATAAATAGTAATGAGGATCGGAAGGAGATGGAGGATCGGAAAGAGACGGAAAATCGAAAGGAGATGGAGAATTGGAAGGAGACGGAGGATTGAAAGGAGATGGAGAATCGGAAGGAGACAGAGGATCAGAAGGAGATAGAGGATCGGAAAGAGACGAAGAATCGGAAGGAGATGGAGAATTGGAAGGAGACAGAGGACCGGAAGGAGATGGAGGATCAGAAGGAGACGGAGGAGACGGAGGATCGGAAGGAGATGGAGGATCAGAAGGAGACAGAGGATCAGAAGGAGACAGAGGATCAGAAGGAGACAGAGGATTGGAGGGAGGTGGATCGGAAGGAGCAGGAGGAGATGCAAGAAGCTGGGTGGATGGCTCTCCTGAAAAACATAAGAGTGCCACGTTTCCGTACCAATTCTCATCTTGATTTCGAGGGACTCGCATGATACAACATCCGTTGCTTGACAATGCAGTTATAGCAGGGTGATGACTTGTAGGAAGAGCCCCAAGTGGCACAAAATGCGTGCCATGACTCAGAAAGGAGATATTTCCATCAGTGTCCTCGGTGGCAATCTGAACATTACCACCACCGATAAATTCTATCCAAACTGGGGGCTTGGGGGGATTGCATTGGAAGCGAGAGATTGTACGTTGATGGTCAATGTCCGCAACTTCAATAATTCCGCTTCCAAAACCAAGGGCGACATGAGAACCATCTTGAGATATCGCCGCACAGGTCACAACCCCGTTGCGAACATCGGGTTCAGCGAACTCGGCTTCATGATTAGTCAGCTTTGCTTCCATGGCCTCTTTAGCCTTACATGCATCCTCGCTCAATGGAATGAAGCCACCGGAGAACTCGCCAGATACGCTGAAGATTCGAACAGGATCGGAGAGATTCCCATACACTTGATGGAGACGTGATGACGATGGGGTGAATGGAAGGAAAGATCGATAAAGATCCCAAGGATCAGGATTAACACCAAGCCACTCAATAGATCCGTAAGCTTCGTTCAGCAGCTTGATTGATTTATGATTCTATAAAGCATCAAGTGATGTTATATCACTCAAATATATGAAATATAATCGAGGTTGAACTCACGGCGAATCCACCCAAATCACCCCATCTTTTCCAGACCCTCTCGTGTCCATCCCACTCACCCTTCGAAGCGATCAAGAACGAGAATAAATTTTCCATCAGGAGTTGTTCAAACTCTCTTTGCAATTCATTAGACTCTTCAGAAAAGAGTAGTGCAGGATTCAAGTGGGAAAACAACCGCTCGAATGAATACACGACGTAGTCAGGTTGCCCTTGCATCGAAAAATTATCCCACTTCTTTTTATCTCCCAAAGGGAATTCAGTGGGCAACCCAATTTCGTTCCTTTGAATGGCATTATTCACAAATCGAAGGAGTGGTAATCCGGGGAGGTATCCTTTCGGATCATCGATAAAGAAAGCCTTGTCTTCGTCATCACCGATGGGCGCTCCAGTGATAAATTCCTTCGCTGTTGCATGATAAAATTTGACCGTTGCATTGTTTGAAGGGACATCAATTATCGAGCTGATGGGATTCAGTATCGCATGGATTTTACCCTCGGCAATTCCTAAAAGATGTGACATGCTGTGAATACCGAGCGGTACTCGTGCAGCAACGACCATTCCAACTACTTGGCGATAATTATTCTCTATATATGGATCCACTCTCGAGAGATGGGGCCTGAAGGCTCGTCGCAGAATTCGCAAGTACTCCTTGCTGAGGTCCATAGATGTATATGGGAGTTTGAGAAAGTATTCAAACTCAGATTCAAGATCGGAGCCACTTCGAGTCCGAAACTGAACTTCGCGTATTCGGATCGAGGCCATAACAGGCAAACCACGGCAGGCTGAAGCAAATGCATCGAGATCGTCCGTTGATGGTTCCCACTGAGATTCTCTCATGCAATCCTTGAGCCCATCCTCTACCATCTGTCGGATTGTGTCGAATGTCTCGTCTGAGTCAACCTCATCCACATTATCACACGGGATGAGACAGCCCCGATCTCCCCAAACGGAAATAACTTGACGTTCAGGACGACAACTGACCAGTATGGAAAAAGCTGAAGGCAGCTCGTCGAGAAGACGTATGAGGCCCATCAGAGACATGAGTGCCTCTGAGCCTCCACATTCGTCCAAACCATCCAAGACGATGGTGAAGCGTCCCTTGCTTGCAGAAAATATGCCCTTGCGACTATTCATCGGTTCGAGGATCAAAGTCTGCATTTGTTTCTCCAGAGGGAGGCTTGTAACTAGCTCCGAATCTGGCTGCCGAAGGCGTTTGATGAGCGAGACCTTGAAGTCATTATTAAATATCGCAAGTTGACGCGCGAGGGTAGAAGGAAACTTCTCCAGAGAATCGAGGCCCGTTCCCTTTTGGTTTTTGTCCCAAAAGAAAGAGGCTGCAAGCATGCCTTCCTTTTTGAGCGTAGATGCGACGCTCATAGATATCGCCGTCTTCCCAGTGCCAGGGGACCCACGTAGCCAGACAAATCGGTTCTCGGCTGCTTTCAGATGATTGAGAAGAGATTTTTGTATGTTGACGCGTGTGCTTGGAAGGCACTCCGACTTGCTCTTCACGTAGGTGTGCTCAGCTGGGACCCACGGAAGTCGCTCAAGCTTCGCTAAAAGATGTAGCACTGATAAAAGAGCCCTGTGGAAGGAGCAAAATAACATACATTCCACCGATGCTTCAATGGTGCGAAGAAGCGTTAAAATAGTTGCCTGCGTCTATGGTATACGCACATCAGTCAGTTAAACCGAGCACTCAGGGACCTAATGGAAACGAACCGAAAACGAGTTAAGGGCTTCATTTATACACATCTTCACACCACTTATCCTGTTGGCGATTTCGGCTGCTAAGAACACTTTTGTTGCAAGATTCCGGGTTTTGAGCAACTCGATCTCATTTATCTGCCCCTTAAGGGCCCTGTCAATGGAGATCTTGAACCGGGTGAGAAGCGATGGGGGGTTAGGTGGACGTACGATTGAAACCCATTAATAAACTGAATCACTTCTGGGGGAATTTGGTCCGTCGACAGCTCGAGCGGCTGCAAAATGGTGGTATAAGCCTTTCGAATGTGATCACCCAATCCTTCGAGTTCATCGTCGTTTCCGCCAACAGTCTGCATGAATCATGGGGCGAAAATTACATACCATCGTCGATCACTGGGAAGATAAACTAACCTCGTAAACCTGGAGCCACGTCAGAAGTAAATTCGGGATTGCATCAAGATTCGCAATCGGGGCGAATTTAAGAGCGTCGGCTGCATTTTGTAGAACCAGCCTTGTAGCGCCGATGATTACTTTTTTTCGATCACTCCCTGAGTTGGCCGATGGCATGGTCGTGGGTTCCGATACGAAAGGTATGATGACATCCTCACGCTCCAATTGTGCATAGATGTTCAGCCGATTGTCAGGCGTGGCATGCGTCCCAGACGATTCACGAGGATTATTAACATGGGCGGTAGGGGTGCGGGGAGATGGAGGTGGCACCGCATCATCCCCGGATGGCTGAAGGAATGGAGTAGTTGGCCTGGATGGCCCAAGAGGTTCAGCAGTGCTAGGCTTGCTGCGGACAGGATTCAATTTTTGGAGGATCCTCATTAGAAATGCTGGTTTCTTGCGATCACTGCGATCACCAGAAGGAACAATCTGAGCAGCCACTTCGGGCTCAGGATAAGAACCTGCCGGCACTCCGAGCTGATCGCGGCGGTAGTTGTCGTGATCAGGCGATATTTGGGCATCAGTGACACGGACCTGCGGAACATGGGACTCCGAATGGGCCTGTGGGTGAGGTGGCTGCGGAGACGGGCCACGAGCAGGACGGATTCCTTTGTTGCGTCGGGAGAACATATTTAACGTGATATTTGTAGAAATTGCGCTGGCGTGATAACAGGAAAGGCTGCCTACGTGGAAGGGTGAACAGAGGACAATCGCCGTATGCACATGATGTATATGAAATTGCTCCTAGAAGGAAGTTGGACACCGAGGCTTCAATCAATTAGTTGCACAGAACCCAATAAAGCAAGTACTGTCAAGCTTACTTTGTTTGGGAATAGCAATGTTGCAACGTCCGAAACCTGTTCACTTGACATCCGTAGCTTGCGCTCTTCAAAAATCCCCGGAGGAAAAGGCGCAGTTGAGCGGAAAACGCGAAGTGTTGTTTTTATCTCCGGAGGTTAATGCATAGTATCAGGGGATGAGGGTGTAATGGTTACCTGTACCTTGGCTGAGACATCTTAGAGGCAGCCCAAAGTCGAGGTTAAATAGCACCTACCTACATGAACCCGCTCCCGTTGCCCAGTAAATTAGTGTGGTTGGCCTCTGGTGGCATCGTCGAGGCGAGCGGAAGTAAAATAGCTATGACATACAAGCCATGTGCTTGAGCGGACATGTGCACCCACCAGGCGCGCCTGCATCCTGATACCCAATTCTCAATGCGCTTCTTTCGGACTGAGTACAGAAAAATACCGCAGGGAAGCAAACTCATCCGATAGCTGAGGTGCCGAGATACCCAGATTCGAAGCACCTGCAAGAATCTTGTTCTTACATGCCAGGGTAATTGATAACCAGGGTCGGGAGAAAAGCATTCTCGTAAACGATTGAGGTTCTAGGTGAGGAGCAAACAAAAGTGTCACGGTCAGGGCCCTTCTACCCGGAGGCAATGGTTGCAAGACCGCAGAAACGTATGGTTCCTGAGCGAGGTGCACGCATAATCATCTTGATTGATAGTTGCGTCTCAAGGTATTGTCGTGTCGGCGAAGTTACAGTAATGTTGTGGTCAATTTAAGCTTGCGTGGGAGAGTACGACGTTCTAATGTAGATAAAATATAAAAACGCCTCAGAAAAGACATAACTTGCTTTGGTCGCCCTACACACCATTCCAATCGCGAAGCCATGGAAATGATTCCCTATGGCCCTAAAAACGTTGCAAAGTGGGGCCCGCAGCTTGGAATCCGTTGGTCGCATGTCCTCAACGTTAACAGCCAGCATCACGGAATGGCTGTCGACGGAGTTCAGAAACCAGTAGTCACCTAACACCTATTGTTCAAGCTGAAGCTGTGGGTGAGGTGGCGCACATATTAGAGCTGGGGTATTATCAGTGGTTCAAATATGAAGAGCGGCACCTTCTCATTCTCCGACCGTGCCGAAATCAATGGTAACGCTACCGGTCGCGATTGCGTTGACCTTGCAGAACCACATAGGCTCAATTCCTACCCCGCTAGGGATGCGTCCCGGTATGCAGCGGCTCGCCACGCTATTGTCGGAGTTGGTCGAAGTGCTGTTGGACTGTTGTTGGGCCCAGTGACTGCGAGGGTACTTCTCTCAGTTCTCTGCATTCTGTCGCACGTAAGAATCCTCCCGAGGCGATAACTGGGTGTTTGTTCATCATTGTCATGAGCTAGCACGCCACTCATGTCCAAGTCCCTGCCAAGAGAGTGTTCATTCATTGGAGTCGATGGGTGGCGTAAGCAATGACCACAGATTCTACCCGATCCCGAGAGCGCCAACGTTCTTTCTGCCTTGTCGAGCTTCCACTTTCGGACATCATGTGTCGCTGCACCGTACCATGCCAGTGCCATGAGAGCCTCTCATTCCGCTTGGTAAGAATATTTCTCGATTTTCAGCAAGCAATTATCAGGCTCAAACCTGGGCTGGGTTGACTAATGTTTGACGCCCTTTGTTCATGCTGATCCGGGATGTTCGGTGGCCAGAACCTTCTTAATGTCATTAGGGGGGCCAGAATGACGGCCAGGCATGTCTCAGTAACCTCTGATGGGCCCCTAATATAACGAGTGATTGTTTGCTTGCAGCCCGCTCGCCACAACTAGAATTACGGGATGAGATGATGACGAATCGGGATAAGAGATTAACAGGGGGTCAGAGAGGTCTGTCTGTGAGTAATAATTGCTTTTTCTCGGGTCTTGAAATCTGACTACGCTGTAGGACAACCCTGTTGTGCCAAAGAGCTTCAAACCATGAGTGTCTGGCCCTGCTAAACAAGCCGGATCCGACGACCTGAATCTTCCTCTTCCTCTTCATCGTTATCCCTGAGTGCGCTATGGACATATTCGTCAATGGTACGAGCTTGAATAGGTAAAGCCTCAAGTCCGTTCAAGGAAAACAGTGGGTTGCCATCGGCGGACGCCTTATACCGCACATACGAGGCTTCCCGATTTGAAAGCCCTGACAGCTTCACAGTTTTATTATCTTTCAATGGGATGTATCGCACGGTGGGTGGCACGCCACGCGGAGCCGGTTGGACTTCCTTCCGATGAAGCTCGAAGTCATCAATGGATTTAAATAATTAAGGGAACATTATCCTTCAGTGCACTGGACTGAGATAAAGCTGAGAGTGCCTCGTATTTGAGATCTTATAGGATTGACACAAGGGATGCCGTGAAATGAACTGATTTGCGACGCGTCTTGATGGTGGCACTTTGGTGACACCTGTACTGAGCCTTGTAAGCCCGTTGCTCCTGAACGATGTCATGTTTCGATCATTACACGTATTATGCCTCTATTATGACTCAAGGATGAACGGATGAACGATGCGAAATTTGGACGCTGAACCCAGTTATTCCCGCTACTCCGTAGCGGGTCCTACGTTTTTTTCTCCACAACTCAATTGTCCTATGCACAGGGTCCTGTATGACCCTGCCCAATGCATAAATGTTCACGCCTTCTCTCCATTCTCCAAACCCATTGATGAATCCTATCAGATCCTATCTCTACCCAGCCTTGTGGGCCAAAGTGTAACTCCCTGGATGCTTCGTCAAAGGCAGCAATAATATTTCGCCAGTGTTTAACACACTTTCGACAGGGTTGGTGTGGGCGAGATTCAACGTACAGCTGTAACACATTTAGTCTTTTACTTTTGAGTGCTTGCGCCGCAGAGCATTGTATTCGCGGTCATAGGGCTCTGAAAGCACCGCATCCTGTTTGATCTGCGGAGTTAAGTGGAGTACCCCTTGGTTAGTGCTATTGTAGGGGACTAGATGGGAGCTCTGGGTATTGTGGTTCTCTTTTCTTCCTTTCCATATTATTATCTTCACCAATACCCCTCCACTTACAGTCCCGAGAGGGGCACAGTGGGTCGGGCACGCCACAATCTTGGTGCATTTTTAACCGTGATTCAAATGTCTTTATGGTCACTAGCCCATGAAACAGTTGAGTCTATTTCGTTCGCCGGTGAGTGCATATGGTGCCTCTTTGTGGCATGCAAAGTCATCTTCCGACCTGCCCCTTATACTTGAGTGTCTCATCCTTTACAGTCCATCAGAACGACGCCTCAGGCACCAGCGCCATCCATTGTATCCTGTTCACGAACCATTAATACGGCACATGTACAGCCAAATCCCTTCAGCTGCAGATTGAATTAGTACGGAGCATGTGCATGATGCAGGTAACGCTGTTTGCTATCCCAAAATTACATGGGCATTATCGCACCATACGCCAGTTTCCAAATCCTCTCCAGTGGGTCGCAATTGAGCGTGTCCACAGTTCGCGGTGCGATTGTGGAGCGAGAAATGTGAAAAAAAAAAAGCTTGAGGAATGAGAAACTCAGGCGGGGTCTCAACGTTGGTGGTGAACAAGCAAGAGAGTAGCAGGATCTGCCGCTTCAGGCGGCGTTCCCCAGTTATAGTTTCTAATAGCACCGTGAGAGCTGTATGACCAGGCCATCCTCTTGTCCCTACTGGCTTAACTGTTGTGAAAATACTGCAGTGAGGTTGCGGGCGCAGACTTAGGGCGGGAGCATTCACAGGAAGACCACGCGCTCAACCACTGGCCATACTTTGGTCATCGCCTGTCCATTCGTGTGCTGCACACTGAACGTCAGATAGGCACGAGGATTCGGTTCCAACATCAGGCTGCAGTGCTGTGAACAAGCTATAAAGTTTTGAAGTTTCGATTTAGCGAGGCACTCAAGACATCTCCTCCGCAGTAAGCTTTCGTGTTGGCGCTCCGTGAGCCCCGGTCGGAGGGGTTGCAGTCATCAGCCCCCGGGCTACAAAAGCGCCCACATTCAGTTCAATCAGCTCGTTCACGTGCCCCACGGACATTTCCTCTCTGATCCGCCCAGGGCGCTTGACTCCTCGTGTAGGCTTAACAGGCGTGCATAAGGTGTCGCTTCATGGCCTCAAAGCTCACCTTTGATGACATATTTCAAGACGATGTCGTGTCAGCCATACCAACAATAGCCCAGACACAGCCGACACACCGCGTTGCCACACCTTTGACAAATCTTCTGTCTTCACGCAACCTGTTTTCTCGCCCCCGGGATTCATCTTATATTTTCCCTACTACATTATTGGGGGCCGTCGTGGTCCTCGCTATTTATTGGGCTGTATCTTTCACAATTTCAATACGTCAAAAGCTTCGAAGGGAGGCGAATGAGCTGTAAGTATTTCCCCCCTTCTTTAAGGTCGGTCCCGTCCTCACTTTTCCTGCCGTCTAGGGCTCAGAGGCGTCGTCATGGGATTCCTGATGGCGATAAACGACCGTTTGCTGAGGCTTATTCTGACGCTGTGGCCAGGAGGCGAAAACCACTCGCGCGTCCCAGGTCACGTACCGAGTTATCCGTGTTGAACGCGCCGCGTATGTCAAGGCCCAATGTGATATACAGCGCTTATGAGGATGATTCCATTGATCTGAGGTATCCTGGCTCAGAGTTTGACGGTATGTCCCCGGCTCATTTTTCTATTATGACTCACTGACGCATCGCGGTCAGCAATGCAAACTCAGGCTCACATCGCACCTTCAAAACCATCTCTCAGGAAGGAACCGTCAAACCCAAAACTTGTTGGGGCTTTCCCTTCCGAGACCTCGATGTATGTGTGCCTCATTGTTGACATGTCAACGTGCACAACGTACCCCTTGTTTCACTTTCAGATCGGATTCGATATCCCGGGGTGTGGCGAGTCGTGGACTTGCGTCTGATGTTCGTTTCAGAATACAGCAGCCGTCCAGTTTGAATGGCAGAGCGTCCAGTAAGCTGATCGACACATCCAACACAGTGAAGACGGCAGGACGCAAACGTCTTTTCATGGACCCTCGTGATGCCTCCGAGCACAATAACGTTGCCATTGCTGAGCCTTCCGCTGATGATTACTCACTTCCGAAGCGAGCACGAAAGAACGCGTGGTTCACCGAAGAGAATGCTGAAGTGCAGCATTCTAGGAATGAGAAGCGCCTCGCCTCTGCTGCGGACGATGAGATGTTGGAGCAGACCCGTGTCAAGGCTGGGGGGAAGCGTGTGAAGCCGGCTGACGATGAAGCTCAACCGAACAGTTTCCTTGCCGTTACCGTGCAAAAGGCCAATACAAAGCAGAAGAGTGGTCCAAACGTAACGTTTGCCCCTATGCCCAATCTGGCCCGCAAAAGTCGGATCGGTCGCAGACTGAACAGTGTCAACCTTCCCAAGCCGAAAGGGATTCAGGACGAGAATGTTTCTGGTCAGCAACCACCGTCTCCCGCCCTCCCCGTGGCCGGGTACAAGCGGGAGCGTGAGCGCCTCGAGTCGGATTCAGGATCAGAGACTGGACGAACTAGCGATGCTCCGCCTGCTCGCAAGCGTGGTCGGGAACGTGCTGAGAAGCCACAGCTATCGAAGTTGAGGGAGTCGATATCCTTGGATGAAAATGAAACGAAGAATGACCAGTCTGTGCCGGATGAGAATGTGGTAGTGGATCCTTTGTGTGGCGGGAGGCGACCTGGAGAAGAATGGGAGTCCGGTGGGCTGAAGTTCAAAGTTGGTGTTGACGGGCGCCGTTTGCGGAAGGAGGCCGTGGTTGAGAAGCGGCCCAAATACCAAATGGTGCGTCTTTAAGCTGGTGTCGCGTACTGTTTCTCACTTTCCAATGTAGCCCTTGGATTCCCAACATCGCGACAAGGCGGAAACCATTAATGTATGGGTGGATAATTGGTTCACTGAGGAAGAGTATCTCGAAGCTAAGGCGAAAGGCATCTTTGCTTGGCAGCAGGAAGAAAAGAAGGCTGTCGAAGCCGAGTCAGCTGCATCATCAGCTTCCTCGACGCGTCGTCCCTTGGTAAGTTTCTTAGGGTTTCCATCACAGAAGGCGGCTGATAAGGTGGTGAAGAGCGGCCGATCGTCATCAACATTCTGGGATGCGCCCGATAGCACGACGCCGCCGAAAGTCATGCCTCTCACCGATCTGGATTTCAATCCTTTCTTCAATAACCGCCAGCGGACCGTGAGCCGTCTTGCACCGGCCCCTCAGAGGCCCCGGACCTCTGTGGGGTCTGCGGGCACTATTCCTCAACGAGCGCCTTCGACGCGTTGGCAAAAGCAAGCTAACGAGCAGGAAGCGCTCAGACAGCTGCGTGAGGCTCGTAAGGACGCCGAGGAAAGGAAGCGCGCTAGTGAAACTCCAGCTGCCTCTGTTGCTACGCCTGCCCCCGCTCCCGCCGTTGTTCTTACTGCCCCGGCTTCAATGCCTCCGCCTTCTACCTTTATTCCCACTCCTTCGCCTTTTGCGCCTGTCTCTCCTGCTGCTCCCGCGCCTACCCCTACTACCGCTTCGACGCCGCTTGTCCCGGCTAAGCCTGCCACTGCCTCTCCTTTCCTTCCGACACCCCTTGTGTCGAATCCCGCGGAAAAGCTTGCGGCGGGAGAGAAAGCGAAAGAAGAACCGAAGAAAGCAGATGAACTGAAGGACGGCAATGGCAAGAAGCCTGAGGCCTCCTTCCCGGCCTTCAAGTTGCCTACTACCCCTGCATTCCTTCCTCCCAGCACTACAGCGTCATCAACAGGCACCAAGCCCCTATTTGGATTTACTCCGAGGTCAGAGTTTACAAATGAAACGAAGGAAAGTAATCAGCCTGTTGTTAATAACACCCAAACGACGCCGACTTCCGTACCCCAGACTGGTATGTTTGGTTTGGCTCATGTTTCTGGCGTTCAATTGATATTACGATTTCTTGTGATAGGTTTTAAGTTTGGTGTGACTCCAGTCGCATCATCTGCAGTGCTTTCGAGCTCGTCATTATTCTCAGCACCAAAAGTCACTGAGCCATCTAAGGAAACATTACCCAATCCCTTCAAATTTGCTGCGCCTACCAACCCTCCCGACACTCCCAAACCTGCATTCTCTGTCCCATCAAGCACAGCACCAGCAACTTTCACATCTGCTGCCAACGAATCATCCAAACCATCTCCCTTCCCATCATCCTCTTCCGCCACCGATTCTGGTGCCAAGAGTTTATTCGATCGCCTGGGACCCGCCAAAAGTACGGCGGCTTCCGCATTCACCCCGCCGGTGCTACCCCAACGTCCAAACATTTTTGGATCGCTTCCTAACTCTCCTGCACCTAACTCCTTCGCAGCGGTGACGACGAACCAGACGCCCAGTGGTGATCAGACCAAGGACGAAGCTAAACCTTCCACGGGCTTTTCGTTTAAAGGCGCAGCGGCTACTGCCGCCGCCAATAATGCGCCGGGTGACAACAAGCCTGTTCCGCCGGCACCGTTCCACCGCAACGACGCCAACCCATTTGGCACTCCTGTGGTCGTCCCGTTTGGTGGCGGCTCAGCTAATGGAACTAACGCGAATAAGACATGGACGCAACCTGATTTGTCGCAAGGCCAGTCACGGACCAAGGACAGCACTGGTGGCACACCATCTCAATCGTTCAAGTTTGGTGTTGGTGATACTGGTACCCAACCGACGGGCTCGACTGGGCCATCGAATCCATTCCAATCTGGACCTGGCGAGCTCAGTTCAACACCATTTAAATTTGGGCAAACAAGTACTCAACCAGCAACGACACTTGCTCAGCCGAGTGCGTTCTCCTTGGGCACGACTGGCGCGACTTCTGTTTTTGGCGTTCCTTCAGATGCCGCAAATCCGTTCAGCCAACAACCCCCGCCGTCGCCATCTCAGTCCGAAAATCCCGCATCGCCTGGCTGGACGTCTCCCATGCCCCCCCGTTTCGTACCGGGCGTGGCCTCACCTCGCCCGCCCGGTGCTGTCCTTCCACCCATTAACAGATCACGCTCTCGCAGCAGCCGCCCACCACAGCGTACGGGCGGCCGCTAAATAGATCATCGTTTTTCTTTGATCGTTTTGTCATTGTGTTTTCTGATAGTTCAGTGTTAATCCTTTTTCTTGTGTCATTGTACTAGTGGTGTGGCCTCTGACGCAGGCGCCGTGGAAATTTCTCATTTTGTTTGTTCACTCGCATTCACACTCAATTTTGAACGGACCAATCAATACACGAAGCCAAGACTCTTGGTTTTTCTTTCATCAACGTTACATCACACTTGAGAATTGGACACTAGAATTCACACTGCAATTGCTTTTTAGAACTACATGGTGTCAAAGCGATAACAAACATTGCATTAGCGAAATGAGCCTAAGACAGTGCAACCAGTGCAAATAGGTTCAGGAGACACACAAACACCCTCAAAAACGTCCCAGGTACCAAAAGGCTAAACTAAACAGATAAATTTTACCCATTCAGTCGGTGGGCCATTGCATCATCATCCTCATCCGCGTCGATTGCAGCGCAAAGTACAACGGCCCTCTATCATCGAGCATCCTCTTCTGAGCATACTCAGGGCTAACATCATCCAAAGGATATACAAACGCATCTCGTACAAGCATTATGTTTGCTTGCAACCGCTCGATGTCTTCAAGCGTGTACCGCGACAACAGGAAGTTCTCGAGATCGGGAAGGTCGGAGGATTCGACGGTCACCGAAATCTTGCTCCAGTCGATCAGATCGAAGAATGGATAATGTGAGGATCGTCCAATGAGGACGGGTATACAACCCGCATATATCGAATCTACGAGACGAGGGGACCAACCTGAACGCAAATGCCAATAGGCATGAGTCCCATATTCAAGAGTTGACAAAAAAAGAAGAAAAATCGTTACCATTGGTACCAGCGGGCTGTGGACAGAAGATCGTATCGTTCAGCAGGCTGATATAGTCGTAGTCCCCAGTGCCACGGTATATAGCCTTCAGCAAAGGACCATTGGGATGTAGTTTCTCCTTTGGCTCGCCAGAGGACCACCCATGGCGAGTGCATTCCACTCTCTGCCTACTGAGGACACCCGTGCCCCATGAGGAGCCAGAAAAGGTAGCAAGGACGCGTCTGTCACGGGCGGGGCGAACATCTGAGATATTCGGATAAGCCTCAAGGAGTCGCTTAGACAAACAGGTCCGAGGTGGGATCCTAATTACGTTTCAAAACAAACCCTGTCAGCATGCCTTTCGAGCACAGAAACAACGGTAAGAAACACACACTATGTCTTGATGGGGCCTGTAACATGGTGAGTTTAGGTCGGCCATCACGCTCCACGCTGTCGTGGACCTGATAATTGGAGACAACCTTGGTCCATGTTTCCGTCGGATGTCCCAAATATCCCTTAAATCAAAGAATCACTTCTATCAGCACACACCCTCCGTCGACAAACGACCCAGCCCAAAAACACGTACCATTCAAAGGTCAAGCACACACCCCAATCAAACGTGAACGGAATGATAACCTTGGATGCATCGAAGCCCTGGACCGTCTTCCAAGTGTGCTCGTACGTTCCCTCGATGCGATTTCCGCTCTAGATGTAACGTTAACTGGTATATCCTAACACCCAAAGAGAAAAGGAAAAGGACACTCACATCCCACCTCCCCTCATAATGCGGTATGAACACCATCTCAGTACTATTCTCCTCTCCTTTCGCCATAACCCCTTCACCCTCACCAACACCAAAATCAGGGGTCGGCGGCGGAACGCCCATCCTCTTCACACCCCTCTCCAACTGAGCATCAGCACTCAAACAGTGCTTCTCTCTCAATGCTCCAATATCATACTTCCTCCCCGCCTGATCTCTCCAACTCTTCACCCATTCTTCATCTTCGTCCGACAAAGGAGCGACGTATATTCGAGGAAAGGAGATGTTGAATCCAACGAACCGAGAAGCTTGTGCTCGAAGCACATTTCGCCATGAGGAACGCTTCACGGCCTCTACGAGTGGCGATTCAGAGTTCTTGGATTCAAAAGGCGATAGTGATGGTGGAGGGTAGGACAAAACTGGGAGGTTAGCAAAGGACCAAAAAGGGAAACGTTGGGAGGCAGGACATGTCGATAACACACATTGGCAATCTCCCGTATCTATACAGATCGTGGGATGATCGCATGCATTGGAACACGCTGGTAAGTTTGCATTAGACCAATCTGTTGGGTGCGGGCTGAGTTTGTTAGTATGAGTTGTTCTCCGTCGTAGGCTGGAGAGCGTGGCGAGATCCTGAGCGGCCTTCAGCTTGGCACGTCGAAGACGGTTACAAAGGGCTTTAGCGGGGGAAGCAAGGAATGGACGTTTGATCGAGTTTTTTTGGTACTCGATTGTATAGTCAATAGCTATACGTGTCCGCAACGCATGCGCCCAAAATGTATCAATTTACCAAATCACTGAGACCGGAAATAAAACGCTGTGAAACTTACGATTATCATGAAAGAAAGGCCACGGAGCTGGTGCGGGACAACAGCTTGGCGAGATCTTCATAGGCCAAACCTCCTCTTCTCCCCTGTTGTTCCCCTCCACACCTCTTCCTCTTCCTCCCCTTTCCTCTTTCTTCTCCGCCAGCGTAAAATTTTTCCCAACAAACGTAGGGCCCATCAAGAAGAGATTCGTCCCCGGAACGGCAAGCCGAACTGTCCCTTGCTCCGGGTTCGCCTCCAATTCCCAATCTACGAATGCAACCCCAACCCCAACACCTTTTCCCAATTCCTTCTCGCTTATCCTCTGAAGCGTCACAGGACCTGCTTTAAACCCTAACTCTGGCTTTTCCGTGCCAAGAAACACCCATTCGCCATTGTCCCAAGCTTTGATCCGAATAAGTACCCTTTCTCCCTTTCCATGACTGCCAGCACCATCACGAGGACGAACGTGATCCTTCCCTCGTTCCTCAGGAAGCGGTCGCAAGTCCTTGACAGGTTGGGAACCCGAACGAACGAAGATATCCGTGTGAAGTGTGGGAGGAGGCATGGTCGTCCCCGTCGTCCATTGATCTCTTTCCCCACTTTTAGGCGGGAAGAGAGCAGCGAATTCGCCTTGGATGTTCACATTCACATGAACCGTACACCTATCCAATTTGTTCAGATTCTCATCTGAGCTTTCTTTGATAGAAGGGGAAGCCTTTCCACACGTCGATCCTAGTTTCGCCGACAGGTAATGTTCCGTTTGCTGGAGGAAAGCTCGCACGAATCGTTCCAGACCTTCTTCGACGTTGACCTGAGGCTCATAACCCAGGATTTTTTGGGCTTTTTCGGCACTTCCCCGATAGGTGCTTGGGAATCGATCGTCGCCTGGAATGTACTGGATAGGTGATTTGGATCGTGCGAGTTTCACGAGGGTAGAAACAATTGTGGAGACGGGGGCGGAGAAACCTGAGACGAGGCTAAATGCATCGAAGTAGGTGCGTGGAGCGTGCCCGGACAGAGAAGAGGTTAGGTGTTTGATGGCGAGGAGGAATCCGTCGACGCAGTCGTCAATATGAAGTAGGTCAAACTAAAGAGGAAAAGGTATCAAAAATGGGTGACAAAGTCGGGAGGAAAAAAAAAGGACATACGTGTTGCTCGCCCCCCGAAATCTGTATAAGCTGATGTGATAACGCCTGCATGGCGATAGAAGGCAGAAACCTCTCCACATGATCATAGATACTTCCATACACAACCGACAACCTCAACGCGACAGCATGTATCGACCCGCCGCCCTTCTGCTTTTTGACTTCCTCCAAATGCGCCTGCACGGCCTTCTCAGAAGCCAACTTGCTCGCTCCATACGCATTCACAGGTTTCTTTTCCGTATCCTCCTCGAATGGTACATTCTCCCTTCCCGGAGGCATGTCTCCGTATACTGCTATCGAAGAAGCGAGTACGAACCATCTGCGTCCGTTGTCCTTTGCGTTTAAATTGGATAATGCCTCCAACGCAAGTTTCGTTCCTCGTTCATTTATGTCCCAGCAGTCAGCTTCGTTCTCGAGGCACAGCAGCACGCGGGAGACGCCACCAAGGTGAACGATGCCGACGATATCAGGCGTGAGGATGTCGGATAGGAGCGTGGTATTGCGAAAGTCACCCTTGACGACTTTGAGAAGGGAACGGGAGGAGGGCGTGAGTGAAGGGAGAAGTTCCTTTGGACGCCAAGCAGCATCGAGAAGGGTGACGGGAGTTGAAGCGGACAGAAGACGTCGAACGATGTGTTTCCCTGCACAGCACCCATGAACGATAGCGTTAGATTGGAGGGGTGAAAATGTGAGTTTGTGAAAGAACCAAATTGACCAAAGAGCAACGGGTAAGTTGACCAGACTCACCGATGTTCCCGCCTCCCCCAGTGACGAGTACATGTCCGGCGGAGACCCTGTCAGTGACCCGACCCATATCAAGTGGGGCGTGTCCATTCGAAGTAAGCGACGGAGATGCTACTGGTTCCGTCTTTTCAATTGTCGATGTTGTCGAGAGGAACTGTAGATAGTAAAAGGTTCAGGGGGACAACGTTCGTGTCAAGTGGAGTGGAAAGAACGAACAGCGAAGGATAAAAACTGGTAGGTCGCAAGGAACACGAGGGCAAACAGGGCGAAACGCCATGGATGGATGTGGCGAGTTATGGATGGGAGTGATAGTTGACTACTGTTCTGCCCAAAGGACGCCATGCTTTAGGAAGTTGAGTTGTGTGCCAGCACGCGAACAAACGAAGATCCACTCCAGACAAGGTAGGACATGTCACTAGTCCAGTCAGCTAGAATTTATATGTGTTGAACAATTTGGTTTCCCGCAGGACACGCAGATCTCGCGACTTCTAGATAAGGCACTGTGTTATTAACCAATTGGCCAAACATCACCCATTGTGTGGGTTAATGCTTGCTGAGGCACGCCGGTTTAGTAGAGGCTGGGATCCTGCCTAGCGCGCAGGTGCCTACATATCTATAATCTATATCTATATCTATATATCTATATTCCATATATATCTATAATGAACTAGGCTCGAATATATACCTGATCGGTTCCGACCAGGATCGTGCACACGGCCCAAAATGGGCTGGCAGGAAATGCGATTGTAGAGCAAACAACACCAGAATATAACAGCCAAGGATGAGCCGCGCACCAATACAAAAGTAGAATACAGGTGTTCCAGGACAACGAAGCGGGAAGGTGATATGATGGGCAGAGCCGGTAGAGTGCACAGGCGAGATGGGACAAACGAAACTGCGAACCAGAAAGTTACAGGCAAAGTATTTGGGGATGAAAACGAACTGACGAAGATCGATCAGAAGAAGAGCGAGAGCTCAAGCGGAACCACAGGGGAACACTGGTAGCCGTGCGTAAGTTACAAGCCCTGCTGCGCAAGGGAAACTTACCAGCTATCACTGAGCGCGAGCAAGCAGGTGGGAGAAGAGAGCAGAACTCCCCTTGCAGAAGCTACTTAAACCTCCGCCATGTTGGAGGCAGTTGGTCACTGTGGCAGTGCTGAACGAAATGGACCCGCTCCGAGTTGCAGGTGTCAGTCCCGCGAAATAGGATAGACGTAGGCAGGACTCCAGCCTCTGATAGACGAATAAATTTGGCCAACTCACTGCAGGTACCCCACCTGATCCACTGTCTTAGATAGGTATTCGCCCTTTGGATGCACGCACTCTCGCACCAGTGCACTGGAGTGACAACTACGCAAACGGGGGCAACCTAAAAATGGACATCTAAAAACTGGCACCGCTTGGACTTGCAAGGCCAAATCACATTGAAAACGAGGCACAGCCGCATCCCTTGGCTTTGAGAACTTTATTGTGTCGGGTTTGCTTCGGAAACCTCCGGAACCGGCCCCGACCTCGGGGTCTTTGACGAGAAGATGAAAGCGTGGTTTTTCACACTCACTGCCGTACTCGCTTCATGACAGGACTTTGCCCAGAATATTGCTGCTCACTTTCCTCACGTTTTGTAAATTTTTCATGGGGTTTTGTCGCGGGTTAGTGCATGAAATCCACACCATTATTGAGGGGGTGAATGACTGTATATGTAACAAACACACAAGTTGATTATATAAGACGAAAATGAAGGGCTGGCGAGTTTATCGCTCAGTCCCGTTGTAGGTGAACTAAGATATATTGGAAAATAACTGGTGGACGCCGCCTGGCGCGGCAAGTACCCGCTACTCATTCCGCCTTGATTTTGATCATTAATCTCAGATATCACGCCGTGTAGCTATGTACATACTTCCGAACTACATTTGATTCAAAAGAAAACACTGGGGTGCCATCTATTTCATTCGAAGGTTGATCAGAGGCAAGCACCCACATTCTTGGCTTGGACACACACCGTGAACACAGGCGTCCCGATCTGAAAGTGTGCGAAATGGAACGTAATACACATCGCTGCATTGGGCATCTGGTTGAGCAGGAAATACTATGACGCGACCCTTGAGGGCTCTTTGAGCAGTAGGAAGTGTGGATGAGGAGGTGGGTCCTGCAGTGTGTGTGAGACGTGGGGACCCATTGTCTTGCAGATGTATGATCCATGTTTTGGCACGCCGTCGAGCAATCAGTGCTTCTTCAAGTTCACGGAATTGGGAATGGGGCCGAAGTAAAGATCATTGATGTTGCTTGAGAGATCGATGACAGACGTTGCAAATGCGGATCACGAGGGATTGGGTATGGGAGGCAACACCTGCCAGACATAACATGATATGTTGCAGCAGAGGATAATCGAGAAAAGGGCGAGGAGCGTGCAAGGGATAGTCACCATGGAGTAAGTGGTAATCGTAATTGTTCAAGTCTACAGGTTGAGGAAGCATCTGGTTGAATAATTTGGACTCAGCACACACCGCACAAATGAATCTGGCGAGACGATGTGAAGATAGAAGGGAGTAAAATGTTTCACTGAGTTCGTCTTGGACATAGAAGAGAGCTTTTCCGGCCAACGAGCAGCACATTGAAGGCACCATTCTTGTGAAGGATCCATGTCAGAAGGGAGAAAAGACGGAAACTGTTCGGCGATGAAACGAAGCAAACAGTGACAAATAGATTGCATATCTGCACGCGAATCGATGGGCAAGTGAAGGTGAGCGATAAAACGACGGAGACAGCCCCAACGAACATCAGCCCGTGTGAGTTGAGTTAAAAAGTTGGCTAGATGGTTTGCGCGTTCTGACCGAATGTCAGTGGTCGACATCGAGAACGAGAAGGCTGTTCAGAGTGTGAGATACGACCAAAATCACAGTGAGAGTCGGTGACAATGTGGTCAAATACAATGGAGCGTAATTGGACACGATTGAGAATATTTGGAATGTGATGATGGACATGGTGGAAAGAGCCACTAAGTCTTGATGATTAATTTGATCCAGATGACGAAGAACGGTGAATGCATCAGGAAATGCAGTGGGGATTTGTTGAAAGCATTGAATAATGCCATGGGATACCCACTTACGGATTCATTGGCATATTGAACACCTAGTGCAGCACCAACCAAGGTTTGGTGTTGAAGGGAGAAAGATCGGGAGAGAAGGAAATCATGAAGTCGTTGGAGATGATCATCAATCGGCGGAAGCTGGTTAGATTCTTCAACACATCCAACAAATGGAGAGTTGTAACAGTGAGCATGCAGAATATGATGCATTAAGATGCATTAAATGTAATCGCGTGTCATTGGTCGTTAACAATGTGAAATATAAACCATGAAGCTATGTGTAATGAGTGATGGTGAGTGGATCGAGGTCCAACGCACCATTCAAAAATGAGTACATCCACAAATCTGCATGTATGGTTTAAAGAGTGGATCAGAAGAGATGCACAGAGACTCACTGAAATCAGAGGAAGTGGTGATGCAAGGTGGATGGTCTTATGGCGTGAGTTGCATTGTAGCGGAGTGAGCCGAAATCCTATTGTCGTATGGTCAGAATGGGAAAAAAGGACCCTAGGTTACAGAGGACCCTGTGCACAGAGTGGGGCCTAAATTTGCAGGACCCGCTACGGAGTAGCGGGAATAAATCACGTAGCAAGTTTATTGCTGGTGAACAAATGCTTAGTACATGGTGCGAGACAAGAAAACTACCAATTCCCCTCAGTCCCATTGGACACGAACTGAGGGAAAGTTAGGTTGTCCAAAAATTAGGTTATTATAGTCAGGCGCCATGAATGCGCACTGACTTTGGCACCGATGTCACCAAGAAAGGTAATAGGCGAACATCTAAGATGCCCATAATACTAAGAATTCTAACAGATTACATTAACAAACTGAGCCTCAGCCACTAGAACCAGTGCAAATAGGCTCAAGAGACACGCAAGCACCCTCGAAAAACATCCCAGATTACCAAAAAGATAAGACAAACTAGATAAACCTTCAGATACCCCATTATGTAATTCATGGCCGATCCACCACGTCGTCGGCGGGCCATTGCATCATCATCCTCATCCGGGTCGATTGCAGCGCAAAGTACAACGGGCCTCTATCATCGAGCATCCTCTTCTGAGCGTACTCAGGCCTAACATCGTCCAAAGGGTACACAAACGCATCTCGTACAAGCATCATGTTCGCTTGCAGCCGTTCGATATCCTCGAGTGTATACCGCGACAGGAGGACGTTCTCAAGATCGGGAAGGTCGGAGGATTCGACGGTCACCGAAATCTTGCTCCAATCGATCATATCGAAGAATGGATAATGTGAGGATCGTCCAATGATGACGGGTACGCAACCCGCATATATCGAATCTACGAGACGAGTTGACCAACCTAGTGAAACGTAAAATACCAATGAGCACGAGTCCCGTATTCCAAGAGTTTATATGAAATCATTACCAGTGGTACCAGCAGGCTGTGGACAGAAGATCGTATCGTTCAGCAAGTTGATATAGTCGTAACTCCCAGTGTCATGGTATATAGCCTTCAGCAGAGGACCGTTGAGATGTAGTTTCCGCTTTGACTCGCCAGAGGACCACCCATGGCGGGGGCATTCCACTCTCTGCCTACTGAGGAAACCCGTACCCCATAAGGAGCCAGAAAAGGCAACGAGGACGCGTCTGTCGCGGGCGGGTCGAACATCTGAGATATCCGGATAAGCCTCAAGGAGTCGCTTAGACAAACAGGTCCGAGGTGGGATCCTAATTATGTTTCGAAACAAACCGAGTGTCAGCATGCCTTTCGAGCACAGAATCAACGATAAGAGACGCACACTATGTCTTGATGGGGTCTGTAACATGGTGAGTTTAGATCGGCCATCACGCTCCACGCCGTCGTGGACCTGAGGATTGGAGACAACCTTGGTCCATGTTTCCGTCGGAGTTTCCAAACATTCCTTGAATCAAAGAATCATTTCCATCAGCACAACACCCTTCCTAGACAAACAACCAAAGAAATGCATTACCATTCAAAGGTCAAGCACAGACCCCAATCAAATGTGAACGGAATGATGACCTTGGATGCATCGAAGCCCCGGACCGTCTTCCAAGTGTGCTCGTACGTTCCCTGGATCCGTTTCCCGCTCTAGACGAAAGGTCATTATGAGTAAAACTGCACTATCCCAACGCCAAAGGAAGAAAAGAGAAGAGGAAAAGGACACTCACATTCCATCTTCCCTCATAATGCGGTACGAACACTATCTCAGCACCATTCTCCTCTCCTTTCACCTTCTTAACTCCTTCACCCTCACCAACACCAAAATCAGGGATCGGCGGCGGAACGCCCATCCTCTTCACACCCCTCTCCAACTGAGCATCAGCACTCAAACAATGCTTCTCTCTCAATGCTCCAATATCGTACATCCTACCCTCCTGATCTTTCCAATTCTTCACCCATTCTTCATCATCGTTCGACAAAGGAGCGACGTATATTCGAGGAAAGGAGATGTTGAATCCGACGAATCGAGAAGCTTGCGCTCGAAGGACGTTCCGCCATGAAGAACGCTTCACAGCCTCTACGAGTGGCGATTCAGCGGATTTCGATTCAGTCTTTAATTCAGAAGGCGATAGTGATGGCGGAGGGTAGGACAAAACTGGAAGATTAGCAAAGGACCAAAAGGGGAAACGTTGGGATGCAGGACATGTCGACAGCACACATTGACAATCTCCCGTATCTACGCAGATTGTAGGGTGATCGCATGCATTGGAACATGCTGGCAAGTTTGCATTAGACCAATCTATTGGGTGCGAGCTGAGTTTGTTGATGTGAGTTTTTTTGCGTTGAAGGCTGGAGAGCGTGGCGAGATCTTGAGTAACCTTCATCTTGGCACGCCGAAGACGGTTACAAAGGGCTTTAGCCGGGGAAGCTAGGAATGGACGGTCGAGAGAGGTTTTTTGGTACTCGATCGTATAGTCGATAGCTATACGCGTCCGCAACGCGTGTGTATCAGTTCATCAGATCACTGAGACAGGCAAATAAAACGCTGTGAAACTTACGATTATCATGAAAGAAAGGCCACGGAGCCGGTGCGGGACAACAGCTTGGCGAGATCTTCATAGGCCAAACCTCCTCTTCTCCCCTGTTGTTCACCTCCACACCTCTTCCCCTTCCTCCCCCTTCATCCTTCTTCTCCGCCAACGTAAAATTCTTCCCAAGAAACGTAGGGCCCTTCAAGAAGAGATTCGTCCCCGGAACGGCAAGTCGAACTGTCCCTTGCTCCGGGTTCGCCTCCAATTCCCAATCTGCGAATGCAACCCCAACCCCAACCCCAACCCCTTTTCCCAATTCTTTCTCGCTTATCCTCTGAAGCGTCACAGAGCCTGCTTTAAACCCTGACTCTGGCTTTTTCGTGCCAAGAAACACCCATTCGCCATTGTCCCAAGCTTTGATCCGAATAAGCACCCTTTCTCCCTTGCTGTGATGGTCAGCACCACCATAAGGACGAACGTGATCCTCCCCTCGTTCCTCAGGAGGCGGTCGCAAGTCCTTGACAGGTTGGGGATCCGAACGAACGATGATATCCGTGTGAAGCGTGGGAGGAGGCATGGTCGTACCCGTCGTCCATTGATCGCTTTCCCCACTTTTTGGCGGGAAGAGACCAGCGAATTCACGTTGGATGTCCACACTCACATGAACCGTACATCCATCCAATTTGTTCAGATTCTCATCTGAACTTTCTTCGATAGAAGGGGATGCCTTTCCACACGTCGATCCTATCTTTGCCGAAAGGTAATGTTCCGTTTGTTGAAGAAAAGCTCGCACGAATCGTTCCAGACCTTCTTCGACGTTGACCTGAGGCTCATAACCCAGGATTCTTTGTGCCTTTTCGGCACTTCCCCGATAGGTGTTTGGGAAACGATTGTCACCTGGGATGTACTGGATAGGCGATTTGGATCGTGCGAGTTTTACGAGTGTGGAAACGAGTGTGGAGACGGGGGCGGAGAAACCTGAGGCGAGGTTAAACGCGTTGAAGTAGGTGCGTGGAGCGTGCCCGGATAGAGATGAAGTTAGGTATTTGACAGCGAGGAGGAATCCGTCGACGCAGTCGTCAATATGAAGTAGGTCAAACTAAAGAGGAAAAGGTATCAAAAATGGGTGACAAAGTCGGAAGGGAACAAAAAAAGGACATACGTGTTGCTCGCCCCCCGAAATCTGTATAAGCTGATGTGATAATGCCTGCGTAGCGATAGAAGGCAGCAACCTCTCCACATGATCATATATACTTCCATACACATTCGACAACCTCAATGCAATAGCATGTATCGACCCGCCGCGCTTCTGCTTTTTGATTTGCTCTAGATGTGCTTCCACAGCCTTCTCAGAAGCCAACTTGCTCGCTCCATACGCATTCACAGGTTTCTTTTCCGTATCCTCCTTGAATGGTATATTTTCCTTTCCCGGAGGCATATCTCCGTATACTTCCCTCGAAGAAGCGAGTACGAACCATCTGCGTCCATTGTCCCTTGCATTCAAATTGGATAATGCCTCCAACGTAAGTTTCGTTCCTCGTTCATTGATATCCCAGCAGTCAGCTTCGTTCTCGAGGCACAGCAGCACGCGGGAAACGGCGCCAAGGTGCACGATGCCGACGATATCAGGTGTGAGGATGTCGGATAGGAGCGTTGTATTGCGGATGTCACCCTTGACGACTTTGAGAAGGGAACGGGAGGAGGATGTGAGTGAAGGGAGGAGTTCGTCTGGACGCCAAGTAGCGTCGAGAAGGGTGACAGGAGTTGAAGCGGACAGAAGACGCCGAACGATGTGTTTCCCTGCATAGCACCATGAACGACAGCATGGGGGGAGTTAAAATGTTGAATTTTATGAAAAGAAGCAAAATTAATGGAAGACTAGTCAATAGACTCACCGATGTTCCCGCCTCCGCCAGTGACCAGGACATGTCCAGCGGCGACCCTGTCGGTGACCCGACCCATATCAAATGGGGTGCGTCCATTCGATGGAGATAGTGCTGGTTCGGTCTCTTCAATTGTTGATCTTGTCGAGAGGGACTATGAAAAAAAAGAGTTTAGGCGACAAACATTCGTGTCAAGTTGGTGGGGGAAAGAACGGACAGCGAAGGATAAAAACTGGTAGGTTGCAAGGAATACGAAGGCAAGCAGCACGAAACGCCATTGAGGGATGTGGCGAATGATGGACGGGAGAGATAGTCGCCTGCTGCTGTCCTGCCAAAAGGACAACATGCTTTAGGAAGTTGGGTGACCTGAATCTGTGCCGACACGCAAACAGAGGAGGAGAGACTGAGTGCGAGAAACGGGGGGAGACAGGACTCTAGACAAAGGATGCCAGGAGTATGTAAAAGCAGCAACGTGGGAGGACCATGCTCAACTGGGGAAGAGGATTTGTATTGAACGATTTCAGTTGGTTGATTCGGCAAGTGGGGAAACGGTGAATTCGCGATTTGCGCGGATGGAGATGGGGGTTCTGTGTTTTAACCAATTAACCCAACTCATCACCCGCCAGCGTAACCTCAGCGAGCAAACAACTCGAACACGCAGGTGACCCAGCCTCTCGTTACGTCGGCTGGTTCTGACACCGCAACTCATGCAATTCAATTTGGCAGCCGTTCCTTGATCGGCCCGAAATGGGCCATGAGGCTGAGAGCAACCATCCACAAACTGGAGAGTGAACCATCGACGCAAATTATTCGTGCCATCGCTCCGAATTACACCTGAGGGGACAATCGTTGAGCTTCACGTACGTAAGCTCGCGCCTGACCCAACAATATTCCTGAGCGCAACTGACGTAATCAACGTTAATGAAATACGCGCCCTTGGCAGGAACATTGCTCTTCCCCTTAAATCCCCAAGGTTTCGCCAAAACCTGCGGGAAGTCACAATTCGACAGAAAGCGCAGCTTTGTTGATAGGGCTGGAATAACAACCTTCGGGCCGACCACGTGGTTCATCAATCAATCTTGTGGATGAATGGCTCAAGTGATATGTGAGGGACCTTAACGTCGGCAGAGGCCGGCGATTGAGTTCAGGTGGTTAAGGGACTCACGAAATCTTAGGGTAATCGAAAGTCGCTGAACCAAAGTCGAACTCGATATTACACTAGGGGTGTAAGTACAAGATCTCTGCTTTTCCTATCTACTAAGGTTCTAGCTTATATACGGTTCTCTACGCTTATGTAAGCTTATCGCTTACAGTCGCCCTCCTGCGACGTTGGCGACTCGCATCTACGAATTAGGGATTAGTCGTTAGAAGCCGTATATAATACTAAAGACAAAGGGAACAATAAAAATAAATTCAGAACCTGCACTTACGACGAAGTCTAGTCGTTCTTTGGAGCTGAAGAGCTCGCCTCAGCCGCTCCTTCGGTGGTGTCGACCGAGTGTTCCGTCTGTAGCGTTGCCATTGAGAGGTCATTCATATGGCCGATAGTGCTCGAAAGTGAAGGGGATGCCGGCGTTACAAAGTTTGGGGGGGCAACCGATGGCACATATTCCGCGTTCACAAAGAGATTGTTGGGGTCGATTGGCGCGTTGTCTGTGTTTGCGAATGGGTAGGGAGTCGGGGTTGGAGTTGGGGTTCCACCACTAGGTCCCGCGTTGTCGGTGTGTCGTTCAGTAGGCCTCGTCCCAACATTACGGTATTTGTTTCGTCCGCGAACACCGCGTCTGGTGTAAGGACCTCCGCGGTGGGGAGGCACCCGCTCTCGGCCGTGGTAGGGAGATGTGGGAGGGGGCGGTGGACGCGTGAACCTGCTAGGGGAACCGATGACCGTGCCAGAATTCAAGATGGCTTGCGCTTCTAGATAGGGAGCATGGAGCGCATGAGACTCAATTGCGTTCAGAATCACGTCCGTGAGGTTGTTAGCCTCCACCCATTCCGTCCAAAAGTTCGGTTCGGGGCCAGTAATCGTGCCACCAGACTCTATCATAGCAAGATGGCGGCATACTGCTGCATAGTCCTTTGATTCCATGCCGGGCACTATCGTGAATCTGGGTTTTACTTTTGCAGTGAATCCTCTCCTAGGCGGGATGATGGTGTGCGAGTGTGGATTGAACATCGTGGCGTGTCCGTGGTCAGGGAGGGTGGATTTGGGGGGGTTGGTCGAGCTACAAGCGAGACCTATCGATATTGCCGCAATGGATAGTCCTTTTATATGTTCAGTTACGTCTGATATTGGGGTAGTTTCCTGTCGCAATTTCGTAATGTTGCTTACCCCTAAGACATCTAAGTAATCATTCAAAGGCGCCTTTCCGCGCAGTAGGCTCCAAGGCTCCCAACTTGTGGAACCATTTGACCATTGAACGAAGAATTTCGCGTGTTTTCCTTGACCGTCATGCTTTATAACGCGTCGTAGTAATGTGTCGTCCGAGGCGCCGATTCCTATATACTCATCGACTTTTCGGTTGGGGAATAGAATATCATCGTTAGGAATGTGTGGTCGTAGCAGCTTAGAGTGAAATACGGGGTGTATACCTCGTTTTCTGAGTTCGTCGGGTAGCTCAAGCTCAAAGCTTGTGTTCGGCGAAGCTTCTCTAGATATCCGCATTGGGCCAATGTATTTCATCGATAATTTTCTCGATTTTCCCTTCCCTAAGTTCAAGTTTTCCGTTGACAAGTAAACCATGTCATTGACTTTGAACGGTGTTTGCTTACGATGTTTGTTAGCTATCACTGTTTGATTACTTCGTGCATCAATGAGAGCATCGTGCGCGTCCAGAGTCATTGCCGTGATTTTGCGCGCTACGGCCCGAACACCTGGATAAGGGGACTCTCGCGAGATGAGGATCGGGTTTGGTTGCCGTATTCCATTCAATTCGAAAGGTGTATATCCTGTGCTATCCGATGTTGACATGTTTATTGCCAGTTCTATGACCGGGAGTTTGGACGCCCAATCCTTTTGATGACCTGATATTGCTTGTCTCAACATTTGAGACAGGGTCCGGTGAGCGCGTTCCGTGGCGCCGTCCGTTTCTGGGTGGTATGCACTGGACAATCGTAGTTCCACACCTATCAGCTTGTGTAGCTCAGTCCAAAATGTCGACGTGAATAGGCTGTCTCTGTCGCTTACAATGCGTAGGGGAAGGCCGTGTAATTTGTAAATGGTATCGAAAAATACTTCGGCCATATCCCGGGCTGTATAGGTCTGCAGCGTTGGTACTAGGTGAACCATGCCGCTAAAATGATCAATGATTGTACAGATCATATCAAATGCGCCATGTCGGGTTTTCGAGAGTGGCAACGGGCCTAGGAAATCAATTCCCACAGATTCCCAAGGTTGTGATGGGATCGGTAAGGTTTTCAGGAGGCCGAATGGTGCCGTTGTACGAGATTTTGTCGTTGCGCAAACTGGGCAAGACAGACAGAATTTACGTGCATCCCGCAAAATGTTTTTCCACCAGACATGACGACGAAGGTAGATCGTCGTTTTCTCAGGACCTAAGTGAGCTAGAATGGAATGTGCATGAGAGATGACAATCTCACGTAGCGATCGCGCACCATATGATACGTTCGGTATGCAGAGTACAGTGAATTGACCATTATTCATGAATATCAGCATCTTTCCTTCCGCGTCCTTGGCGACTGAGAAATTAGGGAAATATAGTGGGTTGTCGATAATCCTCGCGAAGAACGGGTCTGAATAGTACTTATCGGTAATAAAATCCGGTAGCACAAGGCCTGGCTCGGAGTCTGATACCAATGTTATGAGTCCTGGAGGTGTCTCAGCGTACTCGGACTGCAATTCCGAATGGACTTGGTTTGAGGTAGAACCCGTTGCTTGGGTATCCTCATCTGTGGTGCTTTTTCGCATGTGGGCGGGTATTTTGATTTTGATTTTCAAAGCCTCCTGGGGTTGCTCTTCTAAGGCTTCTTGTGTGACGGGTGATGGTTCTGGTTCGTCATCCTGAGAGCCTAGGGTCGCGGGTTTCTTTCCGGTTCTCTTCTTCCTAGGTGGTTTGGGTGGACGAATACGCAACCTGCGTGGTTCGGAGACTGCAGGGCCTGTGATTAGTGTGGCTGTGTACACTCTATCCGTCGTTGTTCCAGCATCATTGTCCTCCATAGTCTCTGACACGAATTCAGAGGGGGCACGTAATGTCCCCAGTGACTCATCACTGTATATTCGTGATAGGGAATCTGAGAATGAATTTTGTTCACCGGGTAGATAGTTGATTGAAAAGTCAAAATCACTCAATGCATCCAGCCAGCGAGCTTGACGCTGCGATAAATTCCGTTGTGATTTCAGGAATTCCAACGGCTTGTGATCTGTGAACAGTCTGAACTTACAGCCTAACAATTGGTCGCGAAAGCGCTTTAGTGACTCAATAATAGCCAATAATTCTCGCTCATGGACAGGGTAATTTTGTTGCGTCGGAGTGAACTTCCCGGACCAGAAACACGCAATCTGGGCTGTTTCCAGGTTGTCCCCTTGACTTAAGACACCACCTGCTCCTGTTAATGAGGCGTCTGTAACTAGGTTGATTGCCGGAGCATTTTCTGAGTAGTCCAGAGGTTTTCTATGGTGATCACGGAAATTCTGGACAATTTCCTTAATTTGCTCGAATGCCCGTTGATGGGTCTCATCCCATTTCCAAACTTTCTTGGCACTAGTTAATGGTGTCAGTACACCCATGGGGATCCTAATTCCTTTGCAGTTGGGTGCTAGGTATCCTACCGCTCCCAAGAACCCGTGTAGGAGCGATGCGTTCGTGGGGATTTTCCAATTCTGTACGCAATTTACTTTGTTTGGGTCCATTTTGATGCCGTTCCTGTCAATCACATGACCTAAGATTTTTAGTTCGTCGGCAAAGAATTGTAATTTATCTGGTGTTGACAAGTAGAATTTCTCTTTTTCCAGTAACCGGAAAACTGTTCGGCAATGTCCGATGTGTTCACTGATTGAATTGGAATAGATTATTATGTCATCCAGATACGGGTCTACCCATTTCCCTATGTATGGGCCAAACATGTGACACATGGTCATCTGCCATGTTGCGGCAGCGTTCTTGTCTCCTTGGCACATGACCCGACTCTTCATCACACCGTCCGGAGTGATTATTAAATTCTTTACCTCGTCCGCGGGGTCAACTCTCATTTGTTCATAGGCATCTCGTCCATCTACTATAGACACAAATTTATGCCGAGCTACTCTATCTAGTATAGCTCTTATGTCTGGGAGTGGAGATGACATCGGGACCGTGTTTTCATTAATCTCGCGCTTGTCTATCACTGTGCGGATGCGGACTTCCCCGTTGGGTCCTGGTTTTTTCTTGAGTACCAGTAATGGCATTCCGTTTGTTCCGTTGTAGTAGACCCATCGGCCTGATTTCAACATGACATCGCGCTTTTTCTCCCATAATGCGCGCAGTGGTTCCGGGCACATTGCCCGTCTGAATCTGTAAATCTTGTTTTCATCCTTTAGTGGGATTCTGTGATTAATATCACGTAAAGGTGGTAGGGGTGTTTCATCGAAAGGCTTACATAGGTGGGCTGCTTCCTCTCTAAGCATCTGCCTCAGTTTCTCTAAGTCGCGGTCAATCAGCACGGAAGTCACGGATGGTATCACCACCGAGTCTTCCTTCCTAAGGGGTAGTGGATTTGCGGATCCGATCCGTAGTCGCGGTGGGTTAAGTCCAAGTAGCACGGAATGTTGGTATAGGAAAGGGGTACCTAAAATGACATCGTAGTCATGAATGTTCATCACATCAAACCGCTTTGTACAGTTAATGTCTTCGTATTTGAACGAAACCGATGCCTCCAGTTGGACGTTGACCCTTGAGCCTGTAACTGCCAGTTGAACGGGGAGGATGGTTGATAGTTTTGTCGTTGGGATTTTGAGTTGGTCTACGCATGTAGTGGAAATGAAATCAGCCAGTGAACCAGAGTCTATGAGGGTTCGGCAAATATGACCGTTAACTTGTGCTTTAATCACCATTCCCTTCGGTAGGATGCGTGTAACATCTTTGGGAGTGGCAGTTGTGCGCTCAAGACCGTCAGTTAGTTTTGCACCCTCCTTTCGGAGTTTGTCCCCTCTAGATTTAGCAGCATTAGCTTCAATATAATCCACTTTGCTCATCATCGATAAGCTTATTGCATAGATGTTTCCTGAGCAATCTCCCTCTATCAAACTTTCTAGTTCGTTTATGTTCACAGAGCGCGCGCTCACGCTCGGGGTCTCTTTAGTTACTGGGCAGTCCTTCGCTAAGTGTCCTGATTGTTTACAGTTGAAGCATAGGCCCTTGGCCCTTAGCTCATCACTTTCTTCTTTCGATAGTTTCGTTCTTGAGGATCTGCTCCTGCGCCCTCCAGACCTTTTGTCACCGTCTTTTTCTTTTTTCTCTTCACCCTGCCTAGCGGGCTTGTTATCTTTTTCGGATTTCTTGTTTTCTTTCTCAGGTGGGCGCTTGTCCTTTCCATGTTCACCTTGTCGGTTCTGGTTTCTTTTGCGATTCTCTTCATACCTGACCATTTTCTTGGCTCTTTCGGCATTCATGGCGATCGCTTTTAAATCATCTATGTTCCCAGTGTCAGGACTAAATCCATAATCTAATAATTTGATGCGATAGTATTGATCCAGTCCGTTGAACACCCGTTGCACAAATTGCCTATCCGTGATGTCGCTTATTCTGTTTCTGATGCGGTCCATTTCCCTGACATATTCCTGAACCGAGGAATCACGTTGCATCCAACGTTCGAAACGATCTCGTTGAATTTGTCGGAATTCTGGTGGGAAACATTCATCAAACAGTGCTTTGACGGCTGATTTGAGAGTCCAATCTCGCGGAGTCAGAGCGATAGTTGATACGAACCATGTTGCGGCCTTGCCACACAACATGTGTTGGAGGTGTTTGACCTCATCTCGTCTGTGTACTTTGTTTAGTTCAAAATAAGTTCTTACTCCTGCCAGCCAAACTTCGAACTTATCGTAGTTGGCTTCACCGTTATACGGGTCTGGTCCTTTGACCTTGACATGCGGGCTTCGGTGTTTATCCTTCTTCAGTAGGGCCAGGAGGAGGCTGGACTCGTTCCTTAGGCTTAGTCTGTTCAACTTGCCTAGTTTTAGAAGGTCCGAGTCGTTGGAGTGTATCGTACTAGTTCTTATTGATGGGTTCGATGACGAAGAACTTCCGTCGCTGCTGTCATCGGAAGGGTCTGACAGGGTCAATTGTTTGGCTAGGAAAGAGGAAGGGGGAACAAATGTTGAAGCTCTAGGTACTTTCAACGTCGTATAGTTTTGAACGTCCGCTTCGGTCTTGGACTTCCCTTCGGACTTGTCCCTTCTAGGTGTCATCGATTTACGTTTAAGGGCCTTGTGTTTGGCCAGTCTGTGAGACGCTAGTCCGTTGACGATAGTCTCGGAGTCAGCATGTTTCTCAAATAGTTTACGGACTTGAGTGGATAACTCATCTGAGTCCTTGTTGTCGTCGTAGTCATTGATGCCCATTGATTGTACGGGTGGTGGGGTGGGCGAACGTATCTCACGTCCTTTTCCTTTCTCTGTTGATGTGGACGCGCGAGGTGTTTGTGTTTCCGTGGCTGAGTATAGTCGAGCGCTTCCAGCGTCAGAACGGGTATCAGTCCATAGATCTGGCGTTCGCGGTTCAGGTTCGTATTTGATTACCTGTTCTCTAAAGCGAAGTATCTTGTTAAGAGCCTCATCGGGCATCGCGAGTACGTCCGATAGTGAGAGTGTTTTCGCGTTGAGTTGGGCAAAGGGATCGAAAGAGGGTGGACTCTGGGGAACGGGTGGTTCTGGTTCGCCACGGTACCTTGTATGTAGATTGGAGTCACTCACAATGGACATATTTTCTTCTCCGCTCGAGGTATCGCTAGCTTCAGTGCTGCGAGCATCTTTCGCGAGACGGAGGTCCTCCATATAGTAACGAGAGGACGTTACAGGGCTTGTACCTGTAACCGCTATTCCCGCGCTCTCCATGGGGCTGGTCCCCAGAGCAGCCGGATCTACGCGTCGTTTCTCTACGGGGCTGGTCCCCGGAGCTGCTAATACCGCGCTCTCGACAGGGTTGGTTCCTGGAGCTGCTGGGTATGCGCTCTGATTCTCTACAGGGTTGTACCCCGGAGCCGCTGGTGCTGCGCTCTCCACGGGACTAATTCCCGGAGCTGCTAGCCCCGCGCTTTTCAAAGTTGGAAAGCTACTCACCAGATATGTCTCATATCCTTCGTTCTTGTTAGCTTGTCCTACGTCTAGATCGAGTCCTTTTGTCGTAACTAGATCGTCCTGTTCACTAGGTATCTTGAGAGACAGCTCGGTATTCTCTACCGACAGGCTCCCATCGTGCACAATAGGTTGGTTAGTAACCGGTTCTGGCGCCAAAGCGTCTACTGAGGTTGATCGGCCACGTCGGCTCACCAGTGGGACGTAGCCTCGACCACTCCTCAGGTTCATCATCGCGTTGCAACTAAAGTCGTGAGAGGTGGGTAAAGCTTAAGGTGGCCGGCCTTAAGCTCGGGATTCGGAAGTGAGGGTTAGATCGGTTTAGATCGGTGTAGATCGAGAGTGTGTAGGTAGCGAAAAAATGTGAGGGACCTTAACGTCGGCAGAGGCCGGCGATTGAGTTCAGGTGGTTAAGGGACTCACGAAATCTTAGGGTAATCGAAAGTCGCTGAACCAAAGTCGAACTCGATATTACACTAGGGGTGTAAGTACAAGATCTCTGCTTTTCCTATCTACTAAGGTTCTAGCTTATATACGGTTCTCTACGCTTATGTAAGCTTATCGCTTACATGATATTTGACGGAAGCACCAAATCCATTGGCCATTCACTGACACTGCTCTGAAACCAATGTCAACTGTCCAAGCGCCAGATTTACTCGTATATGGATGCTATTCAAAGCTAGCTACTCTCTTGTCAAACGAACGTCCTACTTGGATCTTCAAGGACAATGTTGGATAGCTGGTTATATCATATATGTGAATGCGCAGTACCGTGCCTTCTAGACTCCAAGCTAGTGTAGCATTCATACTAGCTCTACTCTCGAATCAATTTCTGTCCCTTGCTTGTAGTGCATGCATTGGCATAAGCTTTGCTTGGAGCCCCAGTACCTGCCCTTTACCGGTGCCTCTGCCACTGATCACTGAAGAATGACCTCGGCACCAGAAAAGGTTTGAGTTGATCCTTACCGGCTCGACAATCTGTTTTTTTTTTCTTGGCCCAAGTCCCCTTGGACTCTGTTCAAGTTTTCCACAACACATCTATCCCATCTGGCCATTAGGTTGCGGGTCTAAAACACGTCGAAGGGATCGATGTGTGCGTCACGGAGCGGCTCACCAAGCAAGTCCTCGCCTGCGGATTACAACCCCCATTGAACGAATTCGCTCCTCAACCTCCATATAATTCAACTGCCGACATCCACAAGGACACAAACAAGACATAGATGGGAAAGAGACGTGAGGCGATATAATATGGTTCAAGTCGCTATATTCTCGCGATACACGCTCCCAGTCGGTCTGAAATACGTACGATCGACGGGGGAGTGATTATTATTCCATCTTGTGTATGTAATGTAGCTACATGTGATAAAGTGCGGCTTGGGATATACAAATGAAATGTGGCGTCGCGATATAATCCCGATACGACAATAATGAATGAATGTAGGGTTGGCCGCAAAGCTAGTACGCGGCCTCTCTCCCTGGTGGCACTTACTAATATTGGAATAATGCTAAGCGATATGTCGCTAGTATACATGAGTCAGGTATCAGGACACAAGACAAGGGAATTAACAAACTACTTCACTTCAGTTCCGTAGTTAATAGGTGAACTGGGGAAAGACATAAAAGTGAATTTTATAAGCAAGGCGCTTTGAATAACACACGAGCATGGTAGTAAGTTTACCAAGAAAGGTAATATGACGACGCAGGCTAAGTCGGGTGATATCCTACACTTACTCCCAAAGCCGCGCACCCCTTGCTAAGAGCTAAATTAACTACAAAGAGGTAGAAGTGCCCTAACACAGAAATCTTAAACGAGCGCGGTAGAGACTGTGGCAGCGCGCGGAATATTACGTAAGCAGCTCCTGCCCAATATGCGAACAAGCGCCCCAGCACGCCCAAACGCGCCAAGGCCCTCATCTTCCTTATCCCTAAGACCCCCTTCTCGCTCTTCCCAACGACCCACATCCAGTCTTTCCGTTCGCCTGGCAAAAGCAAAGCATGCACCACGTCTCGTAAACTTCTCCCAACAACTCGTCTCCGTCGTGATCGGAATTCGCTCCTCCAATAATAATAATAATAACCCTCAATTCGACGTCAAAGTCGACGAAACCCTCAAAGCGCTCGATAACACGCGTAACTATGGACCCTCTCAAGATCGTGCTGAAATAGAACGAAGAATTCATGGGTGGGTTTTTTGCGATCTCACCAATCATTTCCTCGGAATTCGTAATAAAGTTGTCAGTGTTTGCAAAGTTTGGCCCGGAAAGCTAGGACTAAATTGAAAGATACATGGGCTGATGCACTGGAGCACTGTTATGATTCTTTGTGTACTCATCTCAAGGCCAACAAAGATAGCAGTACTAGTGATGTCGTAAATGTGAGCGGGAAAATGAACACGACCCCGATCTGTCCCCCCCTCACGTCCAGTATTTCCGTCAGGAAAGTAATATACCCGAAATGCTTCAGTTCTTTGTGAGTCCTCTTCCAATCATCTTAATAGTTGTGCTGATTGAATCGATCGATGCCCATAGCTTGCTTTATCCGACCCAGTTGATGGATCCTCGGAAGACTTCGCGGAGGATTACATGGAAAGGCTGAATGCCGACGTTCCAACCTCAGATCAACGGCTTTACGAAAAAATTATGATGGAAGAGCCCTTCGAGGGACAGCACTGGGAAGGTGCATATGGTTTACCCATTGGGTGGACAGTTGAAGGGTATGAAACAATGGTGCCATCTAGTCCATCCGATTCCTCTCTTGATGATTGGGACATCGATGCGAGGCGCTTTCGGCGTGACAAGTCTAACTCGCCTTCATCCTTGACGCCTCCGCCTGCCCTCCTCCCCTTGACCGCCAACGATGGTTTCCAGCAGAAAGATGAGGAAGAAAACCAATTGGCGATGCTGGATGCGAGAGTGAAAGTGGGAGCTCTGGTTCGGAGGCAATATTGGAAGGAAGGTGCAAACCTAACAGAGGCTAGGACTTTTGACCTTGGCATTCCATCAACTCTGGGTAAGCGCAGATCCCACACCCTGTAACTCTTTAATGCCTAATTAATTTCACTAGGTCCTGCCATCAATCGCATGGCCGATAAACATAACTTTCACACACAAAAATACATTCTCGAAGTCCAAGCCGTACGAGAAATGCTTTTTTTGCTACAAGGCAATGCGACGATCTTCTTTGACGTCGACGTCGAAGCTTCCGAAGGGTCAATGTTCCCTCGTATGCAAGTACGTCTCCCCCCCTTTTTTTTTCTTTCCGATTTCTCACTCAACCCGAATCTTGTTTAGCTTGCTCGTTATACACCAGGCCTCAGGCACATATCTCCCTCCGCTTTCCACTCAATGCTAGACGTTTTCAAATCACGATCCCAATCATTACACCTCTTGCGAAACTTTTCCAGGGCAATCTATTCATCAAGTCGCTCTTCCGAACCTGCAAGTCGTCAAGCAAGTCGCACGCTGGAAGCCTTCAGTGCAGCCGTCGAAGATTACGTTCTGCAGTTTGACCGATGGTGTGCGAACAAGGAAGAATCCATTTGCAAATCGGCGGTCGGGATTGCTGTCGCCGTCGTCCCTGTGATTGCCAGTCTCCTTAATCTTGAGCGAGAGACCCGGTTGCAATTGGGGGACACTGTGGATTGTCTAACGAAGATCATCAACGATCTCCACGCTCAACGTCCATCGTCTTCCAGTACTCCATCAAGCCCAAGCCCATTCGACTTCTCTTCCATACACCCTACCCTTCTCACCAAGCTGATCCTGGACTCTTTGCTCCTCGCATCCCGTCGCAAATGGGCGGACGGCGATGAAAAGTGCTCAACACAACTGATGGAGATATTCGTTCGAACCGCCGAACCCCTTTGGAGAAGCGTCGGTGTATGGCTTAAGAGGGGTGCGGATATCAAGGATTATTATGTTGTTGTTGTTTCGGACCATGTGAACATTGATGCTTCGAACCGTAAGGATTTCCCTATCCATCGACAAGACGTGCCTATAGCAACAGCCGCCTTCTGGTCGGAAGGGTATACACTGTGCGGCTCCGCGTCTGTTGGAGTTGCTGGTTCGTTCATCAAAGACGAGACAGTAGTGCCATTGTTCCTCGCCAACATTGCCTCGGAGCTCGTAGCGGCCGGGAAATCCGTAGGTCTTTTGAGGTCCCTGAACGTTTCCGAATTCTTTTCAGATGAGAACACAGGGTATGAATGGCTTCGAAACTGGCCTACTTTGAAGGATATCATTCGATCCGACGTTTCTTCTCCATTATTAACGATACCGGGCAATTCTACATCCTTTTCTCTCCCCGACATGATCCCGAATGAGGAGGGCTTCTTAGGAGGAGGAGATGTTGATCGGTCTTCCACGTCGATCGATTCGCCTCACGATGCCGATCCTCAACTCGCTTCTGTGGACTCTTTGGCATCTCTCGTTCACGAACGCTTGCTTCCTTGGTGCCAGTTGGCACAGGCCAGATTCACTCGAGAAATTATCGATCAATGTGGTCTATGGACCCATATGCGTAGCATCGGTGACCTCTTCCTCGGTCAGAAGGGAGACGCTATGACTCTCTTTTGCGATGTTCTCTCCGAGAAGGTCTGTCTGACTAGTACTTTTTTTTATCATGGTTTGTCTTATTATACGACGGCATCGTTAAACAACGTCTTTTTTTTTTTTTTTACACTCTTACTAGATCCGTCAAGATGCCATGTGGACGGATTATCATTTCCTCAATTCTACCTTCCGTCAAGTTGCCCTTTCTACTCCTAACACATGGATCGATCCCGACTCCATACGATTTTCATACCGGGGGGCCAAACGCAAGGCAAAGTTTGAGTCGATTCGTCAGCTTGAAGGGCTTTCGGTAGAATATCAAGTGCGTTTTTACTACCGACCACAGCATTGATGGGAATCTAACAACTAGTCCGCACCCCCCATCCCCCACCATCACCACCACCAAGATGCCCTTCCCCCTAACGTACATGTTAGGTCCTGCTGAAAATGAAATCTACTCGTCTATACTCGTCATCTTGCTGCAGTTGAAGTTTGCTCGCTCTGCTGTCGAAAGGATACATATCAAAGGAGTGGATAAGATGGGTTTGACACGATCCCATCCTAATCTAATGAAGCTATTTTATTCACTTCGCGCTAGATTCGTATGGCTCATAGCGTAAGTCCTCGCTTTCCCTATAATACATACAGTGTATTCAATCAATATTTTCGGAGACAGCACGATCACGACCCATTTTATCACCAATGTACGATTTCTCGTGGGGCGCTTATTACTACGCCCGATTGGGAGGACTGACGCTAGTTGCAGGTCATCCATTCTGAACTGCTTCGGTTCAACAAGGAAATGAAGTTGGCAAGGTCGTTTGACCGGATAATCGAGATTCACAGTCACCAGTCAGTTCCGTTCCTCCAATAAATATGCTCGGGTGTTTTCTTTTTTTTTTTTGCTCGCCTTCTCAAATTAGTTCGTTCCTCCAGCCTTTCTCGCTTGCAAAGTGCGAGTTTCTTGACTGCAGAGGTAAGCAAAGCAAATGGCTTGCATTCTCCAGTCTTGGTTAGTTTCACTCATCCCAATCCCAATCCCGTTTTTCGAATTCGACAAGACCTCTTCTGTACATAAAGGGCTCATTTCAATCCTGGACCTCGCTCTTCATTTCACCGACCTTCAGAGAGCGTTTCTCGGTGAACACAGCTCTGTATCTTCTCTTTCGCGTCACACGATACGTTTCTCGAGTCGGAAGAAGAGACGCCTCAATCGTCGACAGAAGCAGCTTCGACGGGATGTCGTTTCGTTCGCAGATGATGCTGGAGTTCCGTTAACTTCGGATTCGGAGGACTCGGAAGCTGAGGAGCGCGAAGAAGCGGAGATACTACGCGAGCTGGAAGGTTTTGCGGCGGATGAGGATGAGGATGAGGACTATCATGTCGGCGGCGGCGGCGGCGGTGGGGAGGCACCAGTTGGAATGACTTCTCGAACTATGGACGATATCACGCTGCAGACCAGCATGGCTGTCTCCGTCGGCCCTGCCGAGGGAAACATAGATTTCGAGGAACGCGTGACGAAGATGGACAGGGAAATCGATGTTCTGGTCAGATATCTGTCCAGGCGAGTTGAGGAGCTCTCTAACGGTGATTTGGAAGAAGCGGAGAGCTTTGCAAAATTGGCGTTTATTCTTGATGACTGGGATTTGTAGTTTATAATTACTCCTATTTCTTACAAGAGATATCGGACCAAGTGAGATATCACCATGAATGACCTTACACCGACAGGCTGAGTTGTTCCAACATAAAGTTATCATGCTCCATTCGCATAATCCCACCACGGACTATGCCTGGGGCCCACACGATGTCCCAACAATCATTTAAAGTAGTGGGATAGCAAGCTTCACCATGCTTGCCTGCCCAATCAAAGTCCACTAGCATTGCACAAACTTTGGCTTGGTCTGTTTTGTCTTGACAAATCATAATGTTCGGTCCCTTCGAGTCACCAAATACAATGTCCTTTTGATGCAATGCTTGGATAGCATTTCTCACATCCTCGATGAGGGGGGGGGGTGGAAGTGGACGCTCAGTGTACATTGAAAGTGCATTATGCCCCTCAAGAAGATCCATTATGACCATGATGATGCCAGCACCAACTGGCCCACAATGGTGAAGGGTGGGTGCATAGTTGATCTTTGCCAGAGACTTGTGGGCATCTTGACAATAGCTATCAATGACTTGACCAAAAGCGGTGTGTTGTCTTGCTGGCAAGTAGCTATGAAGATTGCACATCTGTTGCTCAGGGAGTAGTCATATTGTAATGTTTTGCCAACTGAACCAAACTCAGTGGGGCAGGGAAAAGTTGTGTGGTAAGAAGACGAGTGGATGTCCACTCAAGGCCCTTGTAGTATTTCTTGGGCTTGCCCAGGCATCCTTCCGAGACATGGAAAATCTTCACCACTTGCCCCACCTGAGTGGCATCGGAATGTCTTCCACCAAGCCACAGGAAATCAGTTAATGGCTCTATGATGGGCCTCTCAACAAACATGACACCCAGAACCATCAAATGTGGTCCAGCCATGCTGATGATGAAGACTGGACAGCAAGAGAGCTGTGAGGCCCCAGCCCATGTGTATATTCTGCCCACAACATCAATTGATGTTGTGTTGTCTGATAACTATGTCGTGATGCTAATTTAGCATCGCAGAAGCTTCTCTATTTATTTGTGTTGAGAATGTTGATGAGCGACACTTGATCTCAGAGCTGGACTATGAGTAGGACTAAAGGTAATATACATATGAGTTACAATGATAAAGCAATAAGGGAATGTAGTAACTGACCTCAGTCTCAGCCAATATGTGTGAAGAACTGAGGGAAAAGGAAATGAATTCAAATGAACGAATATATCCATGGCCTGGCATGGATTAGTCCGAAATAATATAAAAGAGGTCTTGTGACTAAGTAGTCACATGGTGGATTCTGGGTGAGTGGCTCTCCCAGAATGTTCCCACACTAACGCAGGAATGTGGCTGTTCAGGTTAGCTCTGTTGGAGTGCCCTCATAGCACACGGTTCCTCCAACAGAGAATGTATTCAAATGTATATAAACCCTCGGGGTAGCTGTAAAAGGTGGACCAGCCTTTACTTCTACCCTGTCAATATACAGCACCTAAAAGCATATACCTAGACAGACCAGCGAGGCCTAAGGCGAATGGGGGAACGGAACATACCGTCCCCAAACAAGTAAGACACCCTTTGCTTTTTTACACTATATTTCCTTTCCATTCTTGGCACCGTGTTACTGGCACCGAAACTCCATTTGGCAATGCACACATTGTTGGCCCCTGACAACGCATGACTTCAATCAAGTTCTCATGCAAACTTGTTGAACGACACATCCTCCTGATGTCAAAACACACTAGGAGCACTTCTAATGCTCCCGCCAACATGGCCGGTCCCTCCACTGGCTGTAGGGTGGAAGATGACACCACCTCAAGTGATAGTGGTGATCTGGACCTGCAAGGGCCCAGCGATGCATCTCAGACATGTCGGATCTATCTGAGTGTAAGGACTTACAATGTGTACCCACACATTGTCTGTCCTTTCCATACTTCACATCAAGTGCGACTGCAGTCGCACTTCAGTAACATAAACAACTTGTATAATACTAAGCCACATTACATCATGTAAATACACATATATAAGATGCATGGGTAGGAGGAAAGGCTCCTCAGCCTTTACTCCCCCATTAACAATATAGCTCATTAAAGCATATTTGTGTGATGGACTGGGAGTGTGAGGCGCTTATAACCACGCACTTACACTTTTTTACGCTTGGTAAGTTAATCCAGCTAACCCTACACTTGTTCCCAATTCAATCAACGTTGCAAAGCACATTGATCTAATCTGCACCCAGACCCTCTTCCCTGATGAGTTCTCGAGGGGCAGTTGGATCATCTTCTTATTGAAAGAAGACAAAGACTGTGCAGAAATCTGTGCGAGAACTTGATCCCGTTGTAGACGTTGGTGAGGCCGATGCCACACCAATTGACCCTGATCCGATCAGGAGCCCTAACGCGCCTCCAGATGAGCTAGACTCGTCGGGAGTGGTGGCTGATACAGAAGCCCCAACCGTGATCGCTGCCAATTTGGACCCTGTGCCGATTGACACAGAGACTCAGTCAGCAGTGAGAGGCACAGGCTCTTCAGCACCTGTGCCCCTACTTCCAACCATGAGTGGTGAGCCGACAGGGACTAATAATCCCCCTGTTGACAAAGCAACAATGAAGGGAGACCTACCACTCTCTGTTGTTGCACCACGAGAAGATGTGTCATGGAGGGAATTCATCCAGACGTTTGTGAGTTTCGAAAAAGGGCTCGACAGTTGATTCAACACCATTCTGGAAAGGTTAGACATGCTCGAGGGATGTCAGGAGCTTCACCCTGAAGAAGCCCCCTGACCCATCAAACCTGATGAATTGGAAGAGACTCCGAAGGTTCCTGAAGGACCTCCGGAGCCTGCATCAACTGTGCCCAGACGAACCCTAGATCCAACTAGGGCGTCTAAACAGACGCTGCGTGACCAAGGGACTTTGCCCATGGTTACGATGACTTGGAATCTGCATGACGACAACGGCCTACCCGAGTTTGTCCATGTCCCAGGTTCAGGGGATCCTGGAATATGGATGGCCACTATATACCCCACCCAGAAAGTGAGGAATCTGCCTCGTCACCGGCATGGATACCTTCCCATTTGAAAGAGAAATGGGTGAACAAGGATTGTAACGAACCTGATCACTTTCTCAAGCCACGGAATCAACCTCCTGATGATGAGGCCAACAGGAGTGAGGGTCTACAGAAGACCATCACTGAAATGTTGGGGCAGGTGGTCATGACAGTTGTGGAACAACTGAACATGTCTTGATTAAACTCTCAAGAACCACCTGTGGTTTTTGTTAGTTCATCAGATTCTGAAAATGCAGATGTTGAGGCAGGATTGCCTTGTATATCTTGTCATGGAACCAGTTCGGCCATTGTGGTCAACCGGCAAGGTGAAATCAAGAGGAAGCAAAGACACCTCTTTGCTACTCCTGCACTGAGTGAAGCATCCAAGGAATATAGGATGCAAGTGGATGATGATGCAGCATATGTCTATATGCCGGAGGCCATGCTTGAGAACTGCAGAGTAGGTTAAAGACCCACAGGCGGTTCAGGGCGCAAGTGCCTCCTGGTGGTGGCGACAGCGATGCGGCCACCTTCTTTGGCCTCAATCAGCCTAGTAAACAACACGAATGAGAGCAGGAGCTGAGACGAGAAGTCTTGACTCCCCAGCCTACCATTTGTCGTATGCCAGGTCCTCAGGTTGAGGCCCCAATAAACCTAATTTCTCCCGTGAAAAGAGAGTTCAGCAACAATCTGAACCCTCTTCAGGCGACAAGCTCAATTGTTCTGAGGATGGCGAGTGCTGCCAACCCAAATGATGGGTTCATCGAAACTACTCTTAGGTCCTATTCTAGGGACCCTAACAGTATGACCCCTGGAGATCCAGAGGGTTTCATGGGTGATCTTGTAAGAAGGGTATCGAACCTTGTAAAGGCTCATATCCTAACACCTCTCCCAGCTGACATAAAACCAGAGTTACTGAAGAAGAACTCTGTGCCATTCCCCACCACTTTGTGGTCTGGGGAAAACAATCTCGAAAAATTTGAGAACTGGTTGGTGGAGCTTACTTCCTGGATATCAGGAAATGGGTGGAAAGGCACAAGCTATAACGAGCTTCATATAGACGCTCTAGCTCATGCCTTAGATGGTGACCCCAAACAAATCGTGCTTCATGATATGAAGCAAGGTTTTGAGGAGGGGTTGACCCCTACCTTCATTCAGCTGTTAAACAAGCTGATGTTAACATATGTGAAGAGATTGGCAGCACTAAGAAAGCACAAGTGGCAACAAAACCTTCAGTGGCTTTGTTGTCAAGAACCCAGACTGAGGTGCCTACCCAGGCACCTCCAAATAATAACCGGTATGCTTTGAATACCGGATCTTCCAGTTATCAATGTTGTCCCTCGACGGATGCAAAGGGTAACCCACTTTGCTACAAATGTGGCAAAGTCGGTTATTCATTCCAATGCCCAAATCACCCACCTAGAGCCAAACTTTTCGCTCTGGGGATTGATGAAGGTGCGGACAACAACACTGCAGCAACAGAAGCTGGGGTGGAAGAAGAAGAGCCATCTGGGGAGTCCCCAGATGACCCAGCAGCTGCTATTGACAAAGGGGATGACTGCCTTGTCAATGATCCACATGAACACCCTGATCCTCAGGATGAGTTAGAAAGTGAGCCTGAAGGTGAGGTTGCCTTTGGGCATGTGGGTCTATGAGGGATGACATTCGTGGACCCATCCAAGGACAATTACGCCCTAAAACTCGCTTCGGCTCAGAGAGTGGAGAAACTCCTGAGCGAAGAAGAAATCTATGCTGAACTGGTCGACAAACCCGTTCGTCGATTCAAGACTGAGGGCCAGTTACCCCCTTGCAAGCAGGAAACCGAAATGGTTCCTGCTAAAATTTCAAAGAAAAACCTGCCCATGTTTGATGCGAAGTTTAGACTATCGTGAGAGGCGGGTAAATACCCTATGGATCGGAGTGCAGACTTGCACTGCACTCTGACTGGTCTCGTTGAAATCAACGGGACCAGAGCATTCACCCTGTTTGAGAGTGGAGCAGAGATGGATGCACTGTCCCCTGACTTTGTCAGGGCGTGCCACATCCCTCTGCTGGAGCTACCAAACCCTTTGGTACTTCAAATGGGTACCAAAGGGAGTTGTTCCTGCATTTACTACGGAACGAATGTTGACCTGAAGATATTAGGTCAGAATAAGAAGCACTATTTCGATGTTGTAAACATCAAAAGGTACGACGCTATATTAGGCACTCTGTGGTTGAACACGAATAAGGTGATGCTTGACTTTGGCAAGCATGTCATCCACGTCCACGGAGGCCAACTCCCTTCATTTGATGTTCCAACAGAATGTTCCTTTATCTTGACTGGGCACCAGGCCTGCCGACACAATTCAAGCCTAGTTAAGAAGGCTTCACCCTCAAATAATCAGGCATTGCAAGCAGGAATCTGCTATGGTCTCCAGGAAATGGAAGGTAGCACTCCAACTCACTCCCCAAAAGCTAGGGAAGAAAGAGAAAGGGGGCTGAAAGGGGTATTGCGGTAAGAACAGGTCCATATAATCAATGGGAGGGGAGGGATTTCGGGGAAATATATAGCTCTGGAAACTCTTGCTTATCTTCTTTCTGTGGTGGATTTTCCTAAAGGTCACGATAGCCCTTTACCAATTGTGTGGCCACTCACAGCACCCAAGTACACGGACTTCAAAAGTAGTGGGAGGGGGGAAAATCTCTGGTCTGTTTCAATTGCTATGTACATATACCCATACAGCAAACATACAATCTGTGAAAAGAGTCCGAAATATATGGGTTTGGCTGCCATTGGCTTAGAATAAAATTCCAAACAACAAAGGAAATTGAAAAGAAAAACACAAACTTCCTCATACCACTCCAAACACTGCGTCAAACCTCCATCCCTTTATCCCACTCGACTCTCCTCATCCATAGCTTTCTATCGATACCGATTTTGTGAAATCTGGTGGAGATTTGACTGAGAACAGGAATTCTCAGAAACGGAATATATATCTTGATTATCTGTGCACAGGGAAACTTGGGCCAAATAATTCCAAGACTCCTCCAATGTCCTCTTTAGCATTTGTATCATTTAACTAGCCCATATTCTCCTGGAATTTCACTGAGACTAGCTCGCACGTGAGCATCCACATAGTTCATATTGTCCTGTGACTCCTGTCACGCCTGTCAGGGCACACCTGCCTGACCTGGTTCCACCCGGGCCCACCTGGGCCCACCTCACCCACTCCCCGCTACCCATCCTCCCTCCATCCTCCATCCTCCCTCTTCCCATCAGCAAAAGTCCATTATGCTCTGGAGCATCAAGAGTGGCTGGAGCATGTGGGAGACAAAACAGCAGATTGGGCACTCCTGGAGCCAATAGTGTTCTCCTGGGAGGGGGTTCAGGAGCAGCTGGGAGTGGTGAGGAGTATGTAATGTGCCAGGAACAGTGGGAGGAAAATTTTGGTCTCTAAAAAGTTGAAAAAAAAATTTAGGGAAAAATCAAAAAAAAATTCAGGAACTATAGTGCCTTTAAAGTGCTTTCAGGACATATAATTATTTGCAAAATTGAGGAAGAAATGATGGAGAAAAATGGAAAATACTTTCAGAGACCTGAGAAATAATGAGAACTGAATTGATGGGAAAGTCTGAAAATTGAATAGGAAAGTGAGGGGAAGCCTTGTAAGCATTGTTATTTTCTGCTGTTCTGATTTTTCCTGATTGTTCTTGGTCTCACTCCCAGCTGCTCCTAGACCCTCCCAGGAGCTTCCAGGAGTATTGAGGAGCAGCTGGGAATGAGACCAAGAAGAATTGGGAAAAATCAGAACAGCAGAAAATAACAATGCTACAAGGCTTCCCCTCACTTTCCTATTCAATTTTCAGACTTTCCCATCAATTCAGTTCTCATTATTTCTCGGGTCTCCGAAAGTATTTTCCATTTTTCTCCATCATTTCTTCCTCGATTTTGCAAATAATTATATATCCTGAAAGCACTTCAAAGGCACTACAGTTCCTGAATTTTTTTGATTTTTTCCCTAATTATTTTTTTCAACTTTTTAGAAGTCCCTATTTTTCAAATTTTCCTCATTTCCCTCTATATCCCCCCCTCATTCTCCCCCTCATTCTCCCCTCATTCTCCCCCTCATTTCCCCCTCATTTCCCCCTCATTTCCCCCTCATTTCCCCCTCATTTCCCCCTCATTTCCCCCCCTCATTCTCCCTCATTTCCCCCTCCCCCATATTCTGCCAGCCCGAAAGTGATTAAGTTGCCAGATTAATCATATATCAGGCCATAAATTTTGATTGTGTATTGGTGAGTCTCAGTGTCCTTGATATATAGTATAGTGTTTGATCTAAATGTTAAGCAGTGTCTTGTTGTGTTAGTCTTGTGGTAGGAGGTATTCATGGGGGATCTTCCCTCTTTTTTTCCTTTTCATTTTCAAATGCTCCAGGAGCTCCCAGAAGCTTCTCACCCCTATATACTTTGAAGCATTTAAATTGTATTTACTGGATATGTTTGTGCACAAAGCAATGCTCCAGGCCCTCCTGGGAGTGCCCTGGAGTACCTAGCCAACTCCAGAGGAAATGGGCTGTTCCTGGACTGGCCAATCTCCTCCTGATTCTCCCAGTGCTCTCGATACTCCGGAGCACTCAGGAGCATAACAATTTTTTGCTGATGGCCACTACCCTCACCTGGTGCCCCCACCCTCCTTCCTCCCTTCCTTCCTCCCTCCTCTCTCCTTCTTTCTTTCCCTTCTTCTTTCTTCTTTCCTTTCTTCCTTCTTCTACTACACAGATGACTTTCCTTGCATTGATGTACCATTAGCCCAGCTGCGCAACACACCTGGACCCGGTGTCAGGGTTCAGCACCCTGCCTTAGGGTGCCCCGGACTCCCCACCTACTTTACCCCCTTTTATTCTTTGACTGTTGCCTTGTTGTTGCCTTTGTGTGTTGTGTACACGCGTGCGCTGAAGGAGCGGAGCTGGATCACCTTATGTAACCAGTTTCCTACGTCCAATAACGATATTAGAGTTTGTGCTGATTTGCGTACTGACCGTGTTTTGGTTGCCAAATATATGATTGTTCACTGTCTAAACAACAATAAACACCCCCCAACGATCTCACCTGATGTATAGATCGTCTACGGATAAAATTCTATATTGACTTTACTATGATTTCTAGTCAATATTACACCTATATTTACCACTTTTCAGTAGGATGTGATTTTCCTGA